ATAAAACTGATCATGGTGTGTAACTCACGGTCCGCGAGGCATCTTGACTGCTTTGTCGACTTGAACCCGGTTAGTTGTCGAAGTGTCACGGAAGAAAAATCCAAGGTCAAAGTCAAGAAGAGGTGATATCCGCTCCACTCACGAAATTCGCTTAGCGGATCATTCTTGTGGGAGGAGCCCTAGCGCTATTCCTAATTAAGAATCAGCAGCATGAATTAAAGATTATGCATATGGTTATATAATCCATAGTTTCATATTTTTGTAATTATTTAGAGAGTACAGGTCAAGCGGATTCAAATTTTATCGCTAAATATCATAATGATTAATGTCTCTATAGCCGACATCGGTATTTTCGTTCTTAAAATCGCTATACAACAAATTTTTCTTCAGGGGTCTGCACAAGTTCAAATGTAGCCTTTGATGACTGCAACCTCGGCGTTGAGGATAGACGATCCTGCGGCTCCAATGACGGTGTTGTGAGAGAGTGCAGCAAATCTCAAGTCAAAGTGACTGCCCGGTGCTGCTTCACGAACACGTCCCACACTGACGGTGTACCCCTTGGAGATATCCCGGTCAAGTCTGGGTTGAGGTCTGTCAGGCTCATCAAAAACTTTGATCGCCTCTTGAGGAGCAGAAGGGCAACCAAGCTTTTGGGCCTCGGATTGGTATTCTCGCATAGCCTGCTTAACTTCTTCCGCGCTGGGTCCGGGACGGTTCTTGAACCGCAATGAGACGAAAGCCATGTGGCCATCGGTAACACCAACACGAGTGCAGGTGGCTCCAACTGTAAGCCCCTTTTGCTCATCGAAGGCAGTGGCATCTGCGTTCAGAGAACCCAGGATCTTTTGGGCTTCATTCTCAAGCTTGTCCTCTTCACCGCTAATATAGGGGATAACGTTGTCCATGATGTCCATACTGGGAACACCAGGATAGCCAGCGCCAGACACGGCCTGTTCGGTGAAAACTTCCACATCCTCCACAGGGCCAAACTTGGCTTGAAGAGCTGCAAAAGGAATAACAACGCCAATCACGGCGCAGTTAGAATTGCAAACCAAGAAACCCTTCTTCAGGCCGAACTCTTTCCTCTGGTGAGGGATAAGATCCAAGTGATGGGGGTTGACGGTAGGGACGACAAGAGGAACAAGGGGGTGCTTGCGATAGTTCTTGGCATTGGAGAAAACAGGGATTTCAGCCTTGATGAATTCCATCTCTGCGAGGGTCAGCGGCCGTCCCCCGCAGGTTTAATCTCGAGATAATAGTATCACGTACCAATTTCACCAGCTACATCGCTGTTGAGCCCCGAGAAGACAAGGTCACAGTCGCTGAACTGATCAGCCCTGCAATCGCGCAGGACGAGATTGCTAAGCCTCTCAGACATAGCCATAGTCTGCTTCCATCTGACAGCATCCTTGTATTTCTTGCCGGCCGAGCGATTCGATGCGCCAATGGCGTGCAGCTCTAGGAAAGGGTGGTCCGCGAGGAGAAGAATGAATCGTTGGCCGACAGAACCGGTGGCGCCGAGGACACCTGTGGTGCTGTGAGTAATGATTTAGGGGAGACATGAACTGAACAATATGCCCATACCGCACTTCTTCTTGGGATATGATGCCATCTTGATTGAGAGTGATTAGGGTGAAGTACGGCTCGGTTGACCTGGTTTTCGAGTCAATTGGCTGGATAGGATAGGGATGAGCTAAATTCGAAGAATGAGAAGTCCATTATCCATCAGGCATGCACAGAAATCGAACGACATGAAAAGCCTTGGGCAAAGCAGGCGAATCCAAGTGTATGACTCGAAGAGCCTTCATCTAGAATTCAATGCCCCGCAGGCACAGTCTCCATTGCCCCTCCTTCAAGCGACAGTCATCGTATCTTTTGACAAACGCGACACAGAAGCAATTCCACGCAGAGAAATATATCAACTAACCTTTTGAATAATGCTCACCGAGGGTTTGAGGAGAGACGCTGGTGGCAACAATATCAAGGTAACTTTTACGACTTACTTATGGACTGCGATATCGCTTCACCGGCCTGCGCCAAGCCCCGCAATGAGTCAGCACCGGCACCCACAGCTAGCGAAATCCGGCAATTTTATTGGATGATTCCAATCACTCTACCAGATATCGATTTATTGTTGACCGAATGGAAGCAACCTAGAGATATAGGTCTGATTTCGGGTCATCTGTAGATCCCGCTTGCTATTATTCACATCATAGATGTACAAATTGCTCATAAATCATTGGTCTCAGCCAATAATATGCACGGGCTATGGTATAACTCGTCTCGAATGCATGGCCGCCGAGGCAAGAAGTTCATCTGAAGAGGTCTTGAAGGGTACTTATTATTCCCTTACTCTACTCCATGTTGATGCCTCGCTTTCATAGTCGAAGATCTTACCAGGGTTTAACAACCAGTGAGGATCAAGGGCTTTCTTGATGCTACGCATAACATCAAGAGTAGCCGGGCCAAGCTCTTTTTTCAAAGATGCCTTCTTGCCCAGCCCCACGCCGTGTTCGCCCTGCCGTTCGAAGTTAGCTTCTTTGCTAATACATTCAGGAGCTTGGTTATACTAACGGTGCAAGATCCTTCCATCTCTAGGGCGCGGTCGACCATATCGTTGACGACCTTCTCAACCCGCTCCATTTGGTCGGCATCCTTTCTGTCGTACATTATACTCGAATGGAAGTTTCCGTCTCCGATATGACCCAAGATACTGGCGAACAACCCCAGGTTGTCGAGCTCCTTCTTTGAGATTTCTATTCAAGTCAGCGCAAGTTCGAAGGTAGTCTAGCTTGAGTCCTACCTATAATATCAGGTAGCCTGGAGATCGGAACGGCAACATCTGTTGACCACACTTCCGAACCTTCCTTCCGCAAGGACATCATGCTCCATAACGACTGCTTTCGCGCCGACCAAAGATCGTGTGCCTCTCGGTCGTCTCGGGCAAACTCGAATGATGCTGCATTGTTGCTCTTGGCCAGCTCTCTCGTCAGATTGATACTGTCAGAAACTCCAGCTTTAGTTCCCGAGAACTTGAAAAAAAGGGTCGGTAAAGTCTTCCAAGTCCGGCCGGTACCACCAGCACGGTTGATGACATCCATCTGGACATCGTCCAGAATTTCCATGCACTGTACTGGGATTCCTTTTCGTATAAGCTGCATGGCAGTCGACGCGGCATCCCGAATTGTGGGGAACGCAACAACTCCAACCCGAGTCTGTTCTGGAATCGGAGCCAGCTTGAGAGTTGCTTCGGTGACAATACCCAAAGTACCCTCGGAGCCTACAAACATTCCTGTCAAGTTATAGCCAGCGGAGGTCTTTCGGGGGCGTCTCCTAGTCTTCATTACCCGGCCGTCTGCCAGGACGACCGTCAGGTTGATTACCCAGTCCTTCATTGTCCCATAGCGCACTGCATTTGTCCCGCTGCAGTTGGTCCCAATCATGCCACCGATCATTGCGGACGGACCAGGATCGACTGGAAAGAAGAGACCGGTGTCCTTGATTTTTTCATTCAATTCCATCCATTGGATAGATGGCTGGACGACGATATCCATATCATCTTCGTGAATTTCAAGTATCTTGTTCATCATGGCAAAATCAATGGTCAACCCGCCGTAAGGAGCTGAGAAATTTGCCTCGAGACTTGAACCGCCCGAGTAAGGAACCATTGGCATCCTGTATTTGTGGCAAACTTTGGCGATCTTCACCACATCTTCTGTGCACGTTGGGTAAGCAACGGCGACCGGAAGACGATCTGCGTTCACGGAAGACCATTCTGAGTATCCATGCTGTTGAAGTTCATCCTCATCCGTACTGATAGCATCATCGCCGAGTGTGATCCGCAATTCAGCAATCGCCTAGGCATCGTTGTGGCCAGAATCAGCATCATATGCTTGGCACCACCGAGCAATTGATTGCGAATTTCTCACCTTTTCGAAATCCTTTGCCGTTCCATATTGTGGCTTTTTTGAACTCTCCAACTGCGACGGCCGACCAGTGGCAGCATATGCGTAGCCAATGCTAGCAGCCAAGACACAGGCAAGGAGCGCCTTGCCAGACGTCCAGAAGCCAGGGGCCACTTGAGCGGGGGAATTTGATCCAGCAAAATTCCTCTGGCTTTTAGGAATACCCCTAGAGCTGTTGGAGCTGTTATACCGAGTAGCTCTGAATGACAAAACTTGTGGCTGGGGAGTTTTGGTTTGTCGAAGAAGGCCGCGGGGATATGCGGGGAAACCCCGAGAAAGAAGATGGCCTCGTACGGCTGACATGAAGGGAAGTTGAAGGAATTACCTGATCATGAAACTTCTTCAAGTCATGGGAGAATAATTGACTGGGGAAGATGTACACCGAAGCAAGTGGGAGAAGGATTGTTATTAGGCCAAGTTGTTCGTTGTGGTTCTTCGGTAATCGTGCATCTTGCAGCCGCACTTTATAAGCATCGACGCCATTGAACACAGGTATGAGGAGCTGGTCGGTATTCGGCCGAATAATATCCCACGAAAGGACAAACAAGAGTGCGGGAAAAGTCCAGAGTCAGTGCACCTTATTATCAAGGGCCTTCATAGGCCCTATGATCGTCTCCCCCACGCTAAATGACCGCATTTGGAGTCAATCTTCTTTGCCGCGGTTCTGCCCCAGATCGGCTTCAAATCCGAAGAGCGGAATTAATGCCGACCTGCGCCGCGACGATGGGAGAAATGGCAAGGATCAAGTTGCCAGTTCGAATTGCATGCTTAATAGTCATATAGAGGAATTGGGACGGACATCATTTGTTGACTTTATTTTTCCGAGGTCATTGTAGATTGAGTCTTTCCCATGAGGTCAAGAGATGATGGGCGCCCGTTGATGGGGTAACGCGGCAACGCTAAACTTTACATACACCTGCATCTCATGGAGAATTAAGACTGTACCACTGTTGAAAGGCTTCACGATTCCATTGCACAGAGTATCAGTATTTAAGGAACGGTATTCTCGTCTTATGGCCCAGTCTAGATGAAATCATGCCGGACAAGCTATCACTCCTTGTGCACGAAGTGGAGCGCTTGATTACGGCTCCATATGCACCCTCGCTCCAAGTAAATTTGTACCCCGCTTGATAACAAATATAAAGAAAATGATAGCTGACATACGATGATAGGGCCTTCATGATATTATTCAGAATGACTCCAATGGGTTGGTTAATGCCTGGGCTACTCGTAAACCATGCCAAGTTGGAGCTTTGGTCGATGTGCTTTTCGACGGGCTGTCTCGGTCTCGTTTCGCTCTGCCGTTACTGAATGCTTTCGGTGAGTGTTCGATGTGCTGTCGATCAAGGATTTAGACTTACGTCTCCTAGCATCAGTCTCGGCTTTTTCCGATGCTCTGCTAGAGCGTTATCCCGTTGTACTTGACCAGTTCCTGGAGAAGGCCCTGGAAAGTGATGAGTCTGAGGTTCGTTCATTCACCCTTGGGAATTGCTAAATACAATACTTCAATGTCTGTCTCGATGCCAATACGCATGAACTGATGATGATAGTGGATGGCTCTCTGCACTGCTGTTCTTTCTACTCCTCTTCCCCGAACTTCATTGCTCCAGCTCGTCTGGCGGCGTTCATCGTGAGGTTGATAAACGCAATGGGAGAGAATCCATGCTCAGAAACCATATTCCCACTTTATCAAATCATGACTGGCCTGCAAACAGTCCCCAAAGTGTTACTTGAGATATCTCCGGAGACAATGTCGAGCCTTCAGGTAGAGCTCACTAAGACACTACGGAATCTCGACGATCACATGGGCAATCTCCTCTGTCTCGCTACCTTTGCACGAATTTCATCTTCTTGGGACACTAATGCTGAAAGAGAACACGGACCACAATTTCCATCTTGGCTGCAGAATGTCAAGCATTTTTTCGGTCAGAAGCGCGGTTTAAAAACTCTGGACCTCGTTGTCCTGCGCGTGATCCTCGCATCCTCCGCTAGTTGCGACAATCTGCCACCGAGGAAGGCAGCCGAGAGCATCCGATTAGCAATCGAGATTTGTGACAGCGTAGAGCAGGGCCAGAAGGACTGCTGGATTGCGAACAACGCTCCCAAAATTGCCAAGCTTTGCGAGAAAGCCAACAGGAATGGTATTGACTGGCAAGTGCAAATGATGGTATGATGCGTCCGCCTATGAGACGGCTGAGCGGACTGTTAACATCCATAGGGCCTGACATTCCTTACCTCACTTCTACCAGACAGCGCGTTGTCACCTGAAATACCTCGACTTGCTTTGCAAGGCCTTCTTACTCAAGAAAGACAATCTCATGAAGCTGTACCCCAATATCTGATTCCACGTTTGGTGAAGGCAAATGCTGTAAGTTACTCGTCGCTTAGGTCTAGAAGCGTACTGATTATTTTTAGATTCTTTCGGGAAAGCCTGCGATCTGTGATCTCATGAATCACATATTCACAGCATTGAAAACACACTGCGATAACCATAATGCAGATACCGAGTTAATCGAGTTATCCAGGTCGGTACTCCTTGGACTTCAGAGCGTGGGACCCCGAATCTTAAATTCGGCCATGGCGACGTACGATTTAAGAGAGATCAACCGGACCTTGAACGAATTAACTGAAAACTTTCCTGAGAAACCAAGTCATTCGCAATGCGAGGGTGCTAATCTCTGCTATTCCTCGTCTTGCAACTCTGCGAATGAGTTATTGTTTGACTTAATCGTGTTTACTTCTCATATGTCACTGTTGGGCGCAATGGTTTCTGAAGCCAGCAACCCGAATGGAACCAGCAATTTGACAAATTGTTTACTGAAGGCAAAAACATTGGTCCCAAAAAACAACTGTAGCTTCTCCGAATTCAAGCCATGGGATTTACGAGTCAAATTTCCGTTAGCTGGACTCCCAAAACGAGGTCCCACTTCGAGAGACGATTGGAGGACTGGGATAGCAGAGACTCTGATGCTCAGTTCGCGCATGACCCATGACAATTTAATTCGGAAAATGGAGGAGGTCTGCTTCGACCTCGAACAGCGTTGCACTGCAATTGAAGCACCACTCCGAGCAGTTGAAGATGAGCGTGATCAGATTGGTGTCCAGGCTGAACAACTTCAGCAACAGAACAGCAAGCTAGAACTGCAACTACAGCAAGCTTCTAGCACAATATCTGAGCTGCAGCAAGAAATTTCCCATCTGGAAAAGCATGCTCGGTCAACTTCTGCCCGCGTTGAGGAATTATCAGCAAGCCTTGATACTGCGCGAAGGGAGCTGGAAGATCAGCGTCGCAACTCCCAAGAAGCCACCAACAGTGAAAGAGAAAAAGCTCGAACAAGGGAACTAGATCTCCTTGCTTCAATCACCGAGAAAGATGATCAGATCGAAGAGCTTCAGGAGGAAACACGGAATTTGCAGGAAGATAATGACGCCTTGCGCCAAACACTGGATACTGTCTCCAAGGAGAAAGGCACTGCTTTGGAGCGCACAACTGCCCTCAAACAGGACATAGTAAGGCTAGAAGAATGCGTTGAACACGGCAAGCTTCTCCTTGCACAGAAGGATGAAGAAATAAGCAGACTACAGGCAGATGAAGGACACATGAACTCGAACATGGAAGCCTTACAAAAGAAGGTACAAAACTTCCTACTTTTCCTGCAATAAGGAATGCTTTGTGCTGATATCTCTCACAGTTGGATGAAGAGTCTGCTCAGGTTCAGGAACTCAAAGCCGCGCTTCGAAATGCCGAGGAAACGCGCAGAACTGAAGTTAGCACACTCAAAAAGCAATATGAGTCGCAGATCTCGGAAATAACTGTGATGGTGAGACAACGTGGTCAAAAACAAAAGTAAAATCTTCTGACTCAGGCGCATAGTACACTGAGAACAAAGAAGAAATGAAGGCTCTGCAAGCCGCCATGCATGTAGCCGCTTCCAACGCCACAAAAGAATTGCAAGCAAAAGAAAAACGAGTTCAGCATCTTGGGAGAAAGGTACAGCTAGGAACTTTGATATTTTTAATTTTTGGAGACACAGACTCACCAATCTCTGCAGGTGCAACAACTACGCGAAGAACGGGCAGTCAAAGCACGCGAATTTTCCGAAGCCCAGCAACATATTGGTCGTCTGATGAGTGTGATGGGCTTCAAGCCTGGATCAAAAGAGCCAAAGGCGGCAAGCAAACAGCAGCGCTCCAGGTCAACCCTGGGACCATCGGAAGTCGCCACAATACGACAGCAAACGCCCCAACGGGATGAAGACACACAAAGCCAGTCCGAGAATATGCTTGGTGATTCCTTCGCTTCTCCCACACCGCAGTCGGGACGTAGCCCTAAGAGATTCAGGACCACTGCTGCGGACCAAGATCTGGGAGAGTCGCCTGCTCAAAGCCAGGCGTGGCCACGTCGTACCAGACAAGCCCTTGGAGAAGCAAACCGGAATAGGCAGACAAACTCGCAGCGAAGTGACGCTTCACAGTGTACTCCGAATGCTTCACTGCAAGGGACTCAAAACGGGCCTAACTGGGACGAAAACCACTTCCACGACATTGACCTCGACATGGACCTGGAGTTTTCGAAGGACTTCATTTTCACTAGCACTGCCCTTTCCGAGGCGAATGATCATATACCCTCACTGCGGCCTCAACAATAATGCGGAGCAGATTTCAAGGGAAGAACTCAAACAACAGTCGACAGAATGGCATCGACTACTATGTAGATTGATCTCGGGACATTGTACCCTATATAACCTCGAATACCTTCTCAGCTGGCTGGCATATTGCGTGAATTGGAGACAAAGACGCAAGGTTTCAATGGCAGGAAGAAACAGAGACATCTTTGATGCTCCACCTCTGGAACATTCACGTACAGACGTTAAGCGAGCTGTATCACTTTTAGCGTCTGCTCTCGTGCATGCTTTGTTCCAGCCTCTTTTATCCGTTCCGATAGACAGTATAAAACCCTACTCTATCGCTCATCCTTCCACCTCTTTATATCCTTTTATAAGATAATCTTCCTAAAAACTGCGGTGTTAGAACCATTTATCAGGCATACAAAATTGCGTGTTCAAGGTATAACAGCTCACTGGTATGTCTCCCAGAAGCCTCCATGCCCTAATTTCATCCTTTGAATAAACAGTCCTCTTTGAAGAGCTGCGCTCAGGTTCTTGAGACGCAGAAGCCTCTCGATTGTTCCAACGCTGTGGCTTCCTTCGGGTTTGAATACTTTGCTGATTGACAACAGCTTCTTCAAGAATAGACTCACCAGCCCCGTCATCTGGAAGCTCTCTCATTGGAAGGGAGATCACGACGTTCTTTCCCTTCTGCAAGATGGAGAGACACATAGATGGAAGGATAGCTCGGAGTGCGCAGCAATTGAACTACCAGTCAGAGAGGGAAACTGGATTGATCGAAAAAGAACACCCCACAACAGAGAAGGGATCAACTTTGTCTAGCTTCAGCGATGAAGATAGTGAATTGAGTCTCGTTCATCGACAGGGCGGTGTAGGCAGAAGAAGGGTTTCTCGAAACTATCAGGCGAGGGCTCATGGTCATTCCTGGTTTTCAAAACGTCCTACTCGATCTGCAACACATCGGGACCATGTGCCTCAGGTCCCTCACCGGAGAGTCAGAGCTAATTCACATTCACTACACTCACTGCTGCCTTCCCCTGTCATCTCACTCTCATCTTCCCTCTTCTTCTCTCCTCCCTCTCCTCCCTCTTGCCCATCTTCTTCAACATTATCGCAATCATCGTCGTCTTCCTCACCTTCTCCGTTACCATTTACCACAAGAGCAAAAACTACAGCAATGACTCACGGTTCGCGACCTAGAAGTACGCTTCTGCGCGAGCGGAAGCGTCCTTTGCAGCCCTCAAGACAGCCCTCGCGTTCACAGCAGCCTGTCCCTCCTGCGAACCCACAACGGAATCAATGGCAACAGATACCGCAGGTTCTACAGCACCCATCCACAATTTTGTGTCCGTGGAGACTGTGGGAGTCGGTGGCTGTGAACGTCTTCAACATACCGAGGGAAGCGGACACATACTGTCTTTGGCAAGCGTTCAGCAAAGAGGGACATGTGTTTTCGATAGACATCTTTGAAGACTTTCATGGAAATAGAGAATCCAGGGGAAAGATTCGCTTCAAGTCAGCAGACTCACCTCTCCATTCCATACATTGGCCTAACCGGTTCAGTAGACCACCCCCTCAGAAAGATTTCTGGTGCCATGGAACGTATCCCATCACACTCTCAGATGGGAAGACCGCATTCGTCTCAATTAGCCTCGGCCCCAAGCGGCCAGATGTTCAGATTCAAAGTCCTGTTCGTCCTAATACGATGTATCCTGCTGAGATGGTGGGTCTAAGCACCTTTCCTTACTGTTCGAGCTTTCAACGCTGATTCCTCATGGGCGATACAGAAACTACCTATAGCATCAATGGACATAGGCGTTCTCGTCAGCGAGACATCCATGCTTCCAATGCGTACCGTCGGAAATGCAAGAAATGAGCGGGCTCTTTTGGTCATTGACCTGAAGCGTAGAGACCTCTTCGTTCACTTCCAGTTGCCCATCTTCAACAACAAGCCAAAATCAGCTTCAACAGGCGAGACTTACAACCAGTATCGCCTCAGGATTCCATTCGTGCAACTCGTGAACATGTACCAAATGCAGGACCGGAAATCGGGTAAAGTCTCACATCTGACATTCTTGGATTCGCCTGCCATCTATCATCGACGTATTCAAGAAACCTGGGTCACTTTCAATGATGACATATCTTGGAGAGAATCAGATTCTTGGTATCGGCAGACTTCCGTGGTGCACAACCCAGACGAGCTATCTACTCTACCCGTGAGCTTAAAGCGGTCGAAACCAGTGATCGATATTGGTACGTCTTTGTGTTTGACTTCCATTTTTACTTCCTCCTCCTTCCATTCGAAACTAACGACTTTACCCTAGGCCGCTGGAACACGTTCAGAATAACATATCCCGAAACTCTCAGCAAGAAGGATGAGGAAAGATTTGAATTGTTCTGCAACATGTTGAAAGACTACAATATCGCCATTGAGAATACTACCCGGTTCTCAGTATTGGACCAGATGCAGGAAAGACCTCCACCAATTTGGAGATGGATTGACTTCGCAGACTTACAAGCCTCCAAGAAGATAGTATCTTCCGTGGAAGAATTAGGAGACGAATCTTATGTTCATCTGCCTTTCCCTGTGCGGTACCAGCTCGAGGTCTGTCTATCCCACAATTACCTTTCTGAGTTTACCATGACCCGCGAATTCGCGGTCAAATTGCTCGAGCTAGGGGAATCCGAAGCGGTTAAGCTTCTGGAATATGTGGCTACCAAGAAAGAAGTCTATCATGACCCGATGAAAATCTTCGATCTCAAGTTCGTCAAAGGTTCAACTCGGGCTAAGATACCCTCTTACTGTTGCTACATGCGCTCAGCCAGAATTACACCTACCACAATCTACTATAATACTCCAGCTGTTGATATCTCGAATCGTGTGATCCGGTATTATATCGAGTACGCTGATCGCTTTCTTCGTGTTCGATTCACGGACGAAAAGCTACTCGGCCGCATCAATTCAACCGTTGACAACACAATGGACGAGGTGTTTACTCGCATTAAGAGAGCATTGGCGAATGGTATCGTAATTGGCGACAGGCGCTATGAGTTTCTGGCTTTCGGTAACTCGCAGTTTCGAGAGCATGGAGCATATTTCTTTGCTCCTCTGCCCAACTTGACGGCTGCGAATATCCGAGCCTGGATGGGCACATTCAACGACATACGCAACGTTGCTAAGCATGCTGCAAGGCTGGGGCAGTGCTTCTCAACCACCCGAGCTATAGCTGGCTGCCCGGTACAGATCCGTTTGATAGATGACGTTGTCCGAAACGGATACACCTTTTCAGACGGTGTGGGACGAATTTCAAAGTTCCTGGCGCAGATGGCAACTTCAGAGCTCAAGATCAAAACACCAAGTGACGACCCACCGTCGGCGTTCCAGTTTCGTCTGGGAGGCTGCAAAGGAATGCTAACAGTTTCTCCCGAGGCCCAACGTCAAGAGGTGCACATCCGCAAGAGTCAATACAAATTTGCAGCGGTTCACAACGGCTTGGAGATTATCCGCTGGTCTCAGTTCTCCATGGCAACTCTGAATCGACAGTTGATTATCGTTCTTTCCTCTCTAGGCATTCAGGATCGAATCTTTCATGAGAAGCTCAGAGCAATGCTACATAGTCTGAACGAAGCAATGGAGAGCGATTCTCAGGCTCTGTGCTGGTTGAAGAAGTATGTGGACCCCAATCAGATGACACTTGTTGTCAGTCAGATGGTCCTCGATGGATTTAGGAGTTCCAGAGAACCGTTCGTCACGTCCACAATGAGGCTCTGGAAGGCCTGGCATCTCAAGTATTTGAAGGAGAAAGCAAAAATTGTGATCGAGAAGGGGCGAACTTGCTTGGATGCATGGATGAGACTGGTATTCTCAGGGGCTACTCTGAAAGGGTCCCTGCCAAGGGCGCATCTGATGAAGAGAAGCTAGCCGCGTTACCCGAGATCTTCGTCCAGGTTCATCGCCCTGACACTGGGAAGTGCGAAGTCATTGAGGGAGTCTGTATCCTTGCTCGCAACCCGTCTCTACATCCTGGTGACATCCGGGTAGTTAGAGCCGTCAATGTTCCTCAATTGAGTCATTTGAAGGATGTCGTCGTCTTCCCACAGATCGGGGATAGAGACATTCCCAGCATGTGCTCCGGTGGAGATCTAGACGGGGATGATTACCTTGTGATTTGGGATCAAGATCTTGTTCCCGAAGATTGGTTCCGCAAGCCTATGAAGTACACAAGCGACAAAGCCCAAGATCTCGATCAGGATGTCACGGTGAACCACATCACCTCTTTCTTCGTCTTATACATGAAGAACGATTTCCTTCCTAGGATCGCCCACGCTCATCTTGCCTGGGCAGATCGTCTCGAGGACGGTGTCAACGAAGAAAAGTGCATACGACTAGCCCAGCTTCACTCCGACGCGGTCGACTACAACAAAACGGGCAAGCCAGCGAACATGACACGCAACCTTCAGCCAAAGATGTGGCCTCACTTCATGGAGAAGAAGCACAAGCCAAAGGAAAGGATCTATAAGTCCAATAAGATCCTCGGGCAACTCTACGACGCCGTGGAGCGTATCGACTTTGTTCCTAGCCTTGAAATGCCCTTTGACGAACGAATCTTGGCATGCAGCCTGGGAGTCAGCGATGATCTTATGCAATTTGCTCGGGACCTCAAGGCTGACTACGACGCAGCCATGCATCGTATCATGGCGCAGCATGAGATCAAAACGGAGTTCGAGGTTTGGTCTACCTTTGTGCTAAGTCACAGCAATATGAGCAAGGACTACAAGTTTCATGAAGAGTTGGGACTGATATCATCGTCCCTCCGCGACATGTACCGGAAGAAGTGCTATGGGAAAGTCGGCGGTCGCAGCTTTGAGCTGCTTGCTCCTCTGGCAGTTGCAATGTATCGTGTCACCCACGAGGAAATGACTTCTGCGCTTGAAAAGTATCGCGCTGAAAATCCTCCCGACGGAAAGCTTTTCCGTAAGCCGACACCTAAACTCGATCAGCTGCCTTTTATCAGCTTCCCTTGGATTCTGCACAATATCCTGGGTAAGATTGCCTTAGGTCACTATGAAGAACCTCAGTCAGATCCAGCACCCACTGTGCGCGCACTTACAACCGCAAGCGTGGATCCTCTCGATCCTGTCCCTGGTCAAGTCGTTTCTGTCCACGAAGAAAACCGCAACGGGACCGAGCGCACGCAAGACTCTCTCAAGAGCATCTACGAGGATCCCTTTGGTCTCTTCGAGGGCGATCAGGAACCCAGACGGTCATCACAGCCAAGTAGAGAGGCAGAGATATCCGCAACTCAGAATAGACGCGAGAGCATCCTATCTCTCGACCAGCTGCTTGATTTCGGGCTTGTAGAACTCGGCTTCCCCCTTCCCTCCGACCAGTTGCATTCGAGTGCGCCAGCCACGGATGCCTCCAGCTTGTTGGAACTCAATGACAACCCGGCACTCAACAATCCCGCTGAGGTTAAGGGAGCGGAAACTGATTCGGAGAGACAGACGAGCGCGGTCAGCGGCAGCACGAGCATCAAGGGCAGATGCATTGACATCGTGGAGGAAGACGACGACGTCAAGCCATCTGCGCTCGACATGCTCTACCAGATATTGGACAGTTAGTACGACCGTGAGGCCCGTCCGCGAGCAATTTTGGTGTCACTTAGCCTAGACGCTTTGGTCCGCTCTCCGGGCCTCATCGTCGAGATACTACTTACTTTGTTGCCATCAATCAGCTCCTATAGTGCCAGCGTTTTCTGCTTAGATTAGGCTTCTTCGTCGACTTGCTCTCAAAGCGTTGTTCTAGCTTGTGGTTCTTCGTGCAATCACGACTCAGTACTTTAGGACAACATCATTTGATTCATGAATCTATGAGACCTTCCCAGACTGAGTTCATAAAAGTAGACATAATCATGGTGACCAAGGGAGAAAGGTCTAACTGCCTCATATATGTTACGCAATGCAAGTATCATACCCATGGCCAGCATCGGCCCCAATGCGCCTCCTAATGCCGAAACGCCACAACTTAACAAAATGAGAAGTTGACTCGCCCAACTCCCTTTACCTGAACCCATTGTTACACAACAAATTAAATCCAAGATCCCTTGATAACAAATCTACCATTCCAAGGCGCTCTCGCTTTGGTTCTCCAAAAGTTTGATAATAGGCTCCAATGTGGCTTTTGTATGCTTCCAACTCGCCAAGTGTCGAGTCCGCGAATAAAACACAGGGCAGTCTTTACTATCACATATCACATCATCACCAAAGGGGACACCCATGCAGGATTGACAGACGCGATGGAGGTCAGAGACCCTCTTTTCGGCCTGCTGCTGGCGCGAAACGAGGGACAATAGCGAGATGTGCGGTTGCTGCAAGCAGTCGGAGCACACTGGGATACCAGTGTCATCGAGTTTGGATCTGCAAACGATACACGATGATGATTTCATGTAGGATTCGAGTGTCTTCCCCCTGGCATCTTTTCCGGCGGCGGATGCTGCTCCTTCGACGCGGCGGATTCGCTGGAACTTGGGCATTTCCTCGTACCATTGGCGGACGTTTGCTCCCACAAGGTTGAAGATCCGCTCCAGTGGCGGGATGATGTTCTTGTTGATGTAGTATTCGGCGTCAAGCTCTAGCTCGGCGTCGTGGAGAAGCGTTTCAGGGGCGACACAGCGGTCAACCAATCTTGATCCTGGAGCTCCGGTAACTACGACATAGGGAACTCGCTCTCCATATTGCGGTTCTGAGCGGGGATCTTCAACCATTTTTTTGGTGCTGATCATGGCGCCTGGGGGAGTAAGCCCCTTTCGCTGTAGGTACCGAGTCTGACTTCTTTCGCGAAACAGAAATCCTGGATCGAAACTCTCCCTTGCATGATCTTCGCACATTGCTTTTGAAAGTAGCGTTTGACCTGAGACAAGTCCGCAGTCCTGAAGAGGAGCTTCAGTGCCTTCTCTTCTATCTTTTGTTCCGCTGGGGTACCATCGCGCCTCACAGTCTCGATGCCCTTTGCATCGAATTCGGGTTCTTTCTGATTCCTATTCTCATATCTGAAGCCAACATAGCGTTTCTTGGCGAGGAGCACGCATGGATGGTAAACCTTCTCGAATTTGAGCTTGATAGGATGCGGATTGATGTCAGTGACTGCTTTGGCGATCTCTTCTCCAATATCGAAAGCTTCATCGCGTGTCCGTCCTTTGAGATATACAAAAAGACTGTCTGTATCCCCGTAAACTACCTCGGCGCCCCACTTTTCCACAGAATGAATGAGGGCAATCGCTTTTTCCAGCGTTTCCCTTCCCGATTGAACAATGCTATCCGCAATCTCCGAGCAAGGCATTCGGCCGGAGAACGACGCCGATGTGTAGCCATATGTGACGTTTGCAATCAGCTTAAGAGCAAGTTGTCTGTTGTTGAGAAGACGCTGCAACACTTTGTCATCCTTGTCCATCTTCATGCCGGTCTTAACCATGACCCGAGTCTCCAATATCTCAGCAAGCATCCTTGCGAGGAGCGATTGCCGTACTTCCGGCTTTGCGTACATCATGCCATTCGGTGCAATGTTTATCTTGTCCTTGAGCAACTCCAATACTCGCGGCTGTCTTTTGTAGTCCATGAATCCCATCTTGTTGTGGCCTCTCCAAAGGCGGGCCCTTCCGAGAAATGTGGAATAGCAATAGTTGTACGCAATCATGATGCTGGGATACAATGATTGGAAATCCAAAACAAGAAGAGGACTTGTATAGAAGTCACTCTGAGGCTCCATCACCAACGGAAGACATTCAAGAGCATTCTGCTGACCGACTTGTTTCCTGCTCGGAGAAACGAGTAGGTAATTCTCTGGTTTTGCGATTCGAAACATCAGAGATTCCACTTTGAATTGTGAACCTCTTGAGAAGACCGAGAAAAAGTCAATCCCCAGGAGTCGTGCCTGCTCGCTGGTCCTCGGAATCAGTTCGTTCGACTCCAGGATTTCGAGATTCATTTGTACGCGCGAGAGGAAATACTCGACCACCTTGAGCAGATCCCTGGGCTTTCCGCTCTGATACCATGCGGTGAGGTCCCGATACGAATAGTGCGGGATTCTACGGTGCAGTAAATGGAACACCACATTTTCCATAGTATACTGTAGCAGATTCAGCTCACTCCTCATAGCTCGCCAGATGTTAATCATGTGTCGACCGGTGATCCGGATCGAAGACGTATGATTAAAGCCCCATCTGTCAGCATCTTTGCCAAATCTTCCATGCGCTTGTGATCTCACTCGGGATAGTTCATCGCCTATGTCGAAGTCATATTTCTTTCTTGCCCTCTCAATTAAATACCCCCAGGAGCCGTTATGGACTTCGTAGCCGGTGATAATGTCAGGATCATGATAGCGAACAATATCGACCAATCTATTGATCAAATCGAGTTCCGTCGGTTCACGTTCCAGTTCGATACGCAAAGCCTTCGACAACTTTGACGTTGGCCCATCACCACTCCCTTGAGCAATCATTCCCACATGAACTCCTGGAAGGTTGCCATTGACGTCGATATCCTGGTCGTCCGATTGTATACACCAGAAGATGCAGGATATTTCATCCTCCTCTGGATTCGGTAGGAGTACACCCCGAGTGTTCACATGTACTTCTAGGCTCATAGAGCTCATATACTGGGTCTGATGCTCGACGCTCGTAGATTTCCCTTTCTGAGAATACTTAAAACCGTAATCGTTCTTTTGCGTAGGTCCCTCTATCTGCGACTGAACGTTGGGCTTCAATTGTGGCTCGGACTCTGGCTCTTTAGCTGCTTTCGGCTGCGTTTGGCACCGGGATTGTTCTTTGTCGAACCATTCCAGGACTTCTGCACGGCTTGGCGGTACGGGAGCAAACTCCCATACTCTAGAGGTGCAGGCTTCCCTTAAATGCTGGTCTATTTGTTCCTGTTGGTATCGGTCCCTCGACATCGAAGCGTGTTCACCGAGCATAGCAGGCGACCGTCCGGAAGGATCAAAATCAGGCAGATAATGTATGCTGCTTCCCTCTAGTCGAGATACTCGACCCGCATAATCTCGTGGTCGATCAGGGACATCTTGGTCGTCACTATAGAATGCTTTCTGGTAGATAACAGACGGATAACCGTGGTCTGCAAGTTTTGCCGAAACTTCACTGGCGTTGGGGCAGGCGTACCGCCAGCAACAAACCCTGACGCCTTCGGAGATATTGAATGCATCATAAATCTTCGGCGCCAGATCTGACACATGAGCATTTGAAATGTTTGGCTCTGAGCCAGACGAGGATGGTTGTGACTGCGAAGTAGGCTCACTCCCGCTGGTACTTTTCTCAGCACTGGCGGAAGGCTGAGAGACAGTCTGGTTGTCAATTCCCGTAATTGCCTTTGGAGAGCGGTCCTGGCTGAAACGCATAACTGTCATAGGGTCGTTTGGATCTTTGACAACGGGGAAGTGAAGTCTTCCACCTTGTCCGCTTTTATTCAAATGAGCGTCCTGGGAAGCTGGCGGTGTCGCCTGAGAAAAAACCCTCTTAGTTGGTGTAGATGAAGTACTGTCGCAGGCAATGTATGCAGCTTTAGGGCCTTCCCTCACAGTGTGAATGTCAGCAGCTTGCTGAAGGACGTTGTTATCCGGCGAGTGAGATGCATTGTCATCGAAGAATCTCAGTTTCTTCCGCGGAACACCAGAGTCAAGTATGTCCTGGTGTGATCGGATAGGATTCCTTCTTGAATTCGCAGTGTCATCATGAAAAGCGTTGCCACTGTGAATGTGCTTCTGATCATTTTCCTGCAATTTCCCGTCGTGAAGTGAAAGATCCGATGATTCAGCCAGCATAACGTCATCCGCTGCAGCAGAATGTGGTCCGAAGCTCTGCAATGTCAAATCAAATATTCTATCTCCGGTGCCGTCATCGATGCCGGCAACAACCTCTTCAATAGCTCCATGATCGTCCGATAAAGGATTGGAGATGTAATAATCTTCTGACGAGTACAAGTCAATGTCTGCCTCAGCAGACAAGGCCGCATTCTCATTGACCTGAGCTTCTCCGTCTCCATCGCCTGCGATCAGAGACTGCCGCATTTCCATCTGAGTGAGCTCAATCTTATCTGGGAAAAAGTCCTCGACACTCTCCAAGGCTGTCTTGACCTTCTTCTCAAGAGGTTCCTTCTGCAAGAATCTATCTAAAGTCACATCTCCATTAATTTGCTTGCGCTCTTCCTCAATGATTTGCGACATCAATTGCCGAAATTCATCTTCATGAATCCAGCCACCCTCAGAATGGTTCCTGGGATCAGCTGAGAACGACATCAATTCCTCAGGACCGAAGGGGCTACTGCCGGGGTCAACGAGGCCCATGCGTTGCTTGCGCCTACGAGTCTCATCTTGCCAGAGACCCGCCATACTGGGAACCAGTCGTTCATTCTGAGCGATTGGCTTCAGCATTTCGGTGAAATCCTGATGGAGAGGTCTTTCCTTTATGTCGACGCGGTTCAGAATATCATGTACGCAGACATCCGCTTCCAGGGGACAATGGCTCTGCTTTGGAAGAAGTGTTGCATCGGAAACATAATCAGGCTGGATTGACTGGTCATGCCACCGATGGGACAGATTCGAAAGCTCATAGTACTCCGGAATAGGCGACCGAAATTTAACTTTGCTGCACTTCATGTAGGCACAGCCGTACAAATTATAGTCGCACATCCATTGCGGGACATACTGCAGGTGGCTTTCATATGGCTGTAAAGGGCGCTTCAACACGGCGCCTTGAAGCAGAAGATCCGCTAATCGGGTCGTGTAAACAGGGTCAAGCAAGTAGATTTTGAAGAAGAAGCGATAACCCACATGGTAGCCGTAGAACGGAACTCCTTTAACAAGGGTAATATGGGCGACAAACGCAGTCTTCTTATCGTACGCATTGCGACGATAGTTCAACGCCAGTGCATGGTCTATGGAGAGATGGAGACTCCTGATTGCGGAGCGAACTGCGGTCGGATGAGAAAAAGACTCGTAGTGCAGCGCGCTTTGAACTCACCTTGTTCGGGGTCTAGAGGCCCATCGTATTCAATGTATAGATAAGGAAATGCGCCGTGTACGTGGACGCAAACCTTTTGGCCAGTTTCTGTGGCGCCGAATATTCTGATCACAGGTACTTTCGATCTATCATATTTTCCCGCGGCTCCATCCCTGTAGGGAAGAGGAGGATCAAATTCTGACGGGGTCGCCTGATAATGATCCACGCAGTTCAGGCGCACCTGAAAGGGTTCCATCGAGTGGTTTCAATACAGCCAGAGCCGTCTGCGACATAGCGCGCGGAAGCAAATCCAGGATCATATCATTTGCGATCACAAAATTAGCGGCATAACCAGGAATCCTTTGGATGATCTTTGTCGTTCAATGAGACTTAGAATTCAGAACATGACGTGTAACGTAATCAACATATGTACAGAGTAGAGGTACGCGCCCCAAGGAACGCCCAGTCACGTGATAGCTACCGATGTTATCGCCGATCATGAAGGAACGAATGAATCAATCCTTGGTACTCCGGAGACAGGCTCAGATTCAACTGTCTAAGCGCGAAAGTGGAGGGCGCGACTATCCATTTCGACCTCTGTTAAATTGGACATCACGATCAGGCTCATTACTCCGGCTCCAACTTTATTATTTTCTAACCTCCTTTGCCACTATTCACACGATGTCGCGAAAACCAGCTGATGTGGCGTCAAAAGAGCGCAACGAATATATCCCGTCTTTTATCGCGAAGAAACCGTTCTACATCGATGATGAGTCGACTGCTAATGATTATCTCGAACATCAACGTCTCCAAAAACAAGCTACAGATCAATCGAAATGGTACGATCGTGGGAAGCGCGCTGGCCCAGCAGCCACCAAATATCGCAAAGGCGCTTGCGAGAATTGCGGTGCCATGACCCACAAAGCGAAAGAGTGTCTAAGCAGGCCCCGAAAGCTCGGTGCTAAATGGACTGGTAAAGATATACAGGCCGATGAGGTTGTACAGAACGTCGAACTGGGATGGGACGCTAAGAGAGACCGATGGAATGGCTACGATCCCAGCGAATACCGTCAGGTTATTGAGGAATATGAGGAGCTCGAAAAGCTGAAACGCAGTAAACCGGGAGGTCAAGACGGAACAAAGATTATGGATGGCGAATTGGACGATGAGGAAGCTGCTATAGAGGAAGCCCGGTACGCTGAAGAATCAGACATGGGACGACAACAAAGCACTGCGACTCGCAATCTACGTATTCGAGAAGATACTGCAAAGTACCTGCTCAACCTTGACCTCGACTCGGCCAAGTACGATCCTAAAACACGGCGAATGGTCGATATGGGTGCGCAGGATGATCAAGCTGCAGCGCTTGTTGCCGAGGAGAATTTCGTTCGCGCGTCTGGGGACGCTGCAGAATTTGAGAGAGCTCAAAAGTATGCTTGGGAGTCGCAAGAACGTGGAGATAGAAAGATCCATCTTCAAGCCAACCCCACATCTGGTGAAATCCTACGAAAGAAAGAGCAGGCCGAGAGTGAGGCGAAGCGTCAGGCTCAACGGAAGGCACTACTGGAGAAATACGGTGGCGAGGAGCATCTCAAACCTACGCCCCTCCGGGAAACTATGGTCATTGAAAACGAAAGATTCGTCGAATATGACGAGACTGGCGCAATCAAGGGTGCGCCGAAGAACGCAGTCAAGTCCAAATATTCAGAAGATGTATTGGTGAACAACCACACTACAGTATTTGGAAGCTGGTGGCATAACTTCCAGTGGGGCTACGCTTGCTGTTTTTCAACGGTGAAAAATAGCTATTGTACCGGTGAAGACGGTAAGAAAGCATTCGAGGAAGCAGAAATGAGGTCCATGGGTTTGCTGCCTGGGCCAGAGACGAGGGACCAAACCTCCGCTCCGGCTAAGGACGAGACAAACAACATCCTTGAAGCCGAGGATTCGACCGATCGCAGTCAGCGAAAAGCGGACACCGAGCCTAACACTAAGAAGAGAACAATGATGGAGATGAAATCTGGTGTTAGTGAGGAAGAGTTGGAGTCGTACAAACGAAGCCGTCTCGCCGCTGACGATCCAATGGCTTCGTTCATCGGAAAAGAATGATTGAGACTCCTTACGTTAGGCTTCAAATTATGATTGTCGCATATGCCATTTTTGCATCACCAGAAGGGCGTTTTGGGTCTGATCTTCGTTTACTCAATACCCAATTAAGTTGTATTCAGGAGAATGTTCGCTGTATCTATAACTATCATCATGCAATTTATCACATTAGTGAGATATACGAACAGTCAGATGAGCAAATGCTAGTTCGCCCGGCTTTTGGAGGCGACTGAAGCCTTTGGAACATTGCAATTCTATGTACACTACCTCTTCTAGAGTAGTTAAGGAATAGTAAAAGCATGAGATGGCCAGTCAAACCAGGCTAATCCTGAAGTGGGCTAGTTTATATATAGTGGCGTTGATGTGCAGTTCCGACGTCAGGTGACCTCGAGTTCGTCGGAGATTCTGGAATCACGGGACGAGGGCACAAGCCCTGGATACCACAACTCGCTTAGCGACACCCGCCCCAGATCTCAGCGCAACTTTCGATACGCCCAGCGACGACGACAACGACAACCAGCCCTTCAACGGAATCGCCAGGTAAGTTGCTATTCCATGTGTTGCCGTACCCCTTTTTTTCATTTTTCAAGCGACATATTGTACTAATTTGGCGCCAATTCCGCAGTTCCTTAATTCAAGATGAGTACGTGCACATTCGACATTTCACCGAGCGCCGATGGCCTTTCTCGTCGAAAGATTCTAGCAGACTGACAACGATTACAGCGAAGGGTACCTCCAGCTTCGGCAAGCGCCACAACAAGTCTCACACCCTCTGCCGGCGTTGTGGTCAGTATTTCACCTTTCGAGATTGTTCCGGCGGAAGATGCATGCGGATCTCTACATGGGAGATGGTGTTGGGATATTTCCGGAGGAAAACGGTAGCATTCAGATGGGCTAACAGCTTGTGATTTTCGATTTGCAGGCCGCCGTTCCTTCCACATCCAGAAGTCGACCTGTGCCAACTGCGGTTATCCCTCCGCTAAGGTTCGCAAGTGTACGGACTCCCCGATTCTCGTTAACTCTCTTGTTTGAACCCGTGCTTGGTCGACAATGGAACCCTGTCAAGCACGGCTGTGTGATTCGAGTTTTGGAATGTTGGCTTACGGATTTTTCTTTAACAACAGACAACTGGAGCGAGAAGGCCAAGAGAAGAAAGACCACCGGCACCGGCAGAATGAGCCACCTCAAGGATGTCCACCGTCGCTTCAAGAACGGCTTCCAGGTCGGCACTCCCAAGGGCGCCCGTGGTCCCGAGAACCACTAAATCAAATTCGACGTCGCGTTTTCGTTCTCGGAGGCTGGAGAGGGCTGGTATGAATGGCCTGGCATTCGAAGTGACCGGTTTCAATGCAAGGCGAAAATGACACTTTCCCATGGAGTTGGTGTTGGGACGGGTCTTCTCTTTGCCGTCATAGCAATCATGTTCTAGACTAAAAGAATAAATGGGCACAAATTTGACGACAAATGGAAGACCGAACAAAAATTCGAGGGATTTTTGCAAGGGAAAGCACGCGTGGATTTCTTTTCCTTGTTCATGGCTGGCGAATATCCCGCGTGGCAGATACAGTGTTGTGATATCATCCCAATGCTACGATCTGACTTACTGAATTTACCCGTTTTCACGCATTGTACAGGCCTTTTACATCTACAGAACGACCAAACACTTCAAATGACGATTTCGTACCAGCCGTCGCATTGGTTTGATTTTATCCTCCGCGCCTCAAAACGCCTGGTTTCCGGAAGAGACAATCCTCCCATCAACAACTGAGGCAACACTTTTATTCTCCTCTTCCGAAGATCCTGACACCTCCGTCTCTTTGAATGAAGTACAGCACTTCTTTCTCTTCCCAATCCCCCTCAGCACCTGTCTTTGCACCTCTACCCCAGGCGCCTCCTTTGCTTATCCTCAGCACTCCACTGACGTCCCTGGCCGCACCCGTTTCCAAACTGCGCAGTTGCATGACCATCTCCGCCCGATGAGCCGATCCAATGGCAAATGCGGCATGCTCCATCTCCAATGGCGTCGCCGATTGCGAGGCGGACGTTGATGCATTGTGTATTAACGGCGAATCGGCGGAAAGCGTCAGGATCGTCGCATAAGCATGCTACACTCGGTCAGCATAGTAATTGGCTCTCCCTTGATGATCGTACCTCTTGTAGTCCCATGACCCATTCCCCCAGTTCCGTAGCGCCTATACCCTTGTTCGGCCCCGTAGCGGCCAGTAGCATGTCCGGTTGGTCAATGACCAATAGTACTTCGGGTTCCCCTTCATCTCCGTCTTTCGAGGTTTGGAGCTGCTCGATCACATTCGCGATGTCATTCTCGAGGGTGTCAAGGGCCGCGAACCCGCTGCCGGAGAAATGTAGTCGTTTCGTACGTCCATTCTCCGTCGATGCTGTACTCGGGACCGTGGGGCTCGGTCGCGGCAGAGGTTGCGGAGCTCGTCCCGGCACAGCGCCTGGGGATGTGCGTAGAGGGAGGACAGTCCTTGGAGGAATGGCAGATGGCGAAGAGGGTGGCGCTGGTGATCTTTGGGGCGCCGAAGGTGCGTAAAAGAGTTCCGAGAGTCCATCAACAAAGGCGAATTGGCCCTTGTCAGTCAGGCGCGCAAGATCCAAACCCTAGGAGTGTCAGTCTGTTATCCGATTGAAAATGCAGGAAATGAAAATTAATAGATAGACGGCGGCTACATTTTGAGCTAGGAAAAATTTGAGCAGGAGGAGCAAACTTACGAGTCTCTTTGCTTCTGTCCTCCAAAATTCCCAACCCCGCAAAAAACTTACAAGCACGACTTTGCGCTTTTCCCGCCCATCAACGCCATCGCTACCGAACGCGACGTGGGAGTTGGACGGCGCGCTTAGTGCAGCATAGAGGAATCGCAGGACAAGCCAATTGCCCGTTGCGTCTAGTACTGAGGACAAGACGGTGAGTGAGGAGTGAGGGAGGGACGTTACATATGGCGTTAAGAGGGGTGGTACTGCCGGTTGGGAGGGCATGATCAAGCGACAATTTTCTCCGGGGTGTTGCACCCGTGAGCGCAATCAAAATTGGTATTCGTAAGTCCCAGATGATCCCTATCTGAGAGTACCGTAATTGTGCGGGAATTTATTTCGATATTGTTACTATCGGGGAGATGACGTTGTATAGCAAATATGACTGATTGGTCGATATCCGCGTCGATGCCAAGCCTGTCTCTTGCCTCAGGCAGCTGGTATGAATATCATGCGATTCCAATGCTGCGCTCGAGCGAATCTAGACGTTCTGCAGGCTTTTTATCTCAGATATCTCCTTGCTCTAACTTCTAGTAATTGCAATAAGCTCGTATTGAAAGCTCGTCCTGGTGGTACGGAAGAGACCATACGGCATGGAAAGAGACATGTGATTTGCGCGGAGAGTTGCAATAAATATACTTCGTTAAATTGCTTAGACGCATCGAAGTTGATAATGTGATTCGCTCGTAAGCTGCTGAGAATATGCAGCGAGGGTCAGGCTCGATAAAGGTACTCAATAACTCTCATTCTATCGAAATATCCTTTCAATTGCTCTGGATTCAACAATGCTGGAGTTACGCTGCAGGTGTAACTGCAACTTCTTCGAGCCGAAGCATACTACAACACAAGCCTGGTCCATTCAACAATCGTGGAAATAACCAGGCCCTTTCAGAAACGGCATTACCAAGGAGCCCGAATGATAGAGCTGTAGCATATCATAAAGAATACCAAGTCATTTGTAATTCTTCGATAAGACTTACTGATCCCCAATCAACCCAAATTGCCAGATGTGCCTGAGGACAACAAAATGGACCGTTGTTATTCGACAAAATTTTGCGCCCATCACCTGACTGACTGCCACTTCCCCACACGACTTTCTTCTCATCCAGCACAAAACGGGAATGTCTCGAGTCGGAATCCAATAGTCTAAGTCTCAAATACCAAGTCGAATGAAGGATCTCGTCTGACCTTCTCATGGGTTTGGAAACTGCATCAATCTGTGACTTCTGGTTGTCCGGTCCCTGAAGCGTGGATCGTATACTGTTCATATGCCGATCGTGAGTTGGCCCCACGACATCCTCTCGTCTTGAGATTCCCCAGTCATACTCTGTTTTTTCAATTGATATTTGCCGATTGGTATTGTCGCAAGTCAATCTGTTTTCTAAATACTCGTATACCGTCTGTTGCTTTGAATACGGGTTATGTTCATTGCTTGAAATATCCTGTCAATTCTCCTGGGCCCCTATTCTCCGATGTAGAGTGCAATACGGCCAGTCACCTTGGCCATTGCGCATTGATTCCTTCAAAACCATTGAGAGCTCATGCTTGACTACAGTACAGGGGAGAAGATGCGGAATGATGAAACCAGCGCTGAGTGCTGACTTGCTATACTCGATTAGATGCTACCAGTCTGGTGTAACTCTCAACGTACACCTAACTTACAACTCGAACAACCAGACTATCAGCGATAAAAATGGCCAGTACTCGTGATTCTCATTCATACGCTGTAGGTGCTGCCGACTTCAACTAATACGAGTCAAGGAATCGGGAGTGACTGATTTTGCTTCCAGTGTGATGAGTGCCGTTTAAGAAAGTCCAGGGTATGGTATATCCACCTTGGTATGACCAGATAAGGCCCTATTGACACTTCACAGTGTTCGAAAGAACGGCCGACATGCACTCAATGCAAGCAACTGAACAAAGAGTGCAATTACAGCCCGAAAATCACTAGAAGCCCTCTCACTCGACAGTAAGTTTGCTCTTCCGTTACTCCTACCTACCACAGAATGGCTAACACGTTATTGTCAGACATTTAACCTATGTCGAAGAGCGCCTGCAAGCCTTTGAAACAGCTTTAGGAAGGCTTTTTCCTGGAGGTGACCTGGACGCTACTGTTCGCTCGTTGCTGCAGGACCAAGATGCACCGCAGAAGACTGTGCCTTCGCCCAAGTCTTCATCAAGGCATTCTACCCCATCCAAGGCCGAAGCAGATCGAACCGAACCGGCCCCAGAAGCTCTTCCGCAACAAGCGGACGGGTTTGATTGGGCCGAGAACAGAATCACAGTAGGCGATTTGACAGATGGAATGGCCGCTTTGTCGATAAAGCCCGAGGGAACAGGTTATTTCGGTTCGTGTCGGACCAAAACAAAGGAATCTCGAACGGCTGCTAACTTCCTTCACAGGCGCGTCTTCCAGTGTGGTGCCCCTTCGAGCATTATTGAAGCATGGTTTCGATTTGAATTTTCCCGCAAGTCCGAATAAGCCAGCGGAAAGAGTGCCTTTGAAAAGCCAGCTTCTGAGCACTGCACCTTCCGGGCTCATTGAGCAAGCTTTCATGGACGCCTTCTTTCTCAATTACCATACCAGTTATCCATTTGTGCACGAAGCTACGTTCAAAGCGCAATTCTATGAACAAGTTCCCCGCCCGCATGGACAGGCGTGGCAGATTCTTCTCAATACCATTTTAGCCCTGGGGGCGTGGAGCATTGGAGATGATAACTCCGACCTTGATATCACATTCTACCAGGAAGCCAGAAGCCACCTGCAGCAGGTGTCTGTTTTTGAGACAGGAAATCTTACTCTCATCTTGGCCCTGCTACTTCTGAGTAACTATGCGCAGAAGAGAAACAAGCCGAACACGGGCTGGAATTTCCTGGGCCTGGCTGTGCGAATGGCCATGAGCCTTGGTCTGCACAAGGAGTTCCCCGGCTGGAAGATCAGTCTACTTCAGCGAGAGATGAGGAGGCGATTATGGTGGGGTGTGTATATATTCGACAGTGGTGCGGCGAAAACCTTTGGTCGACCTATCCTCTTACCAGAGGACAGTGTCATGGATTCAAAACATGTTCTCAACATTCACGACGAGGTAATACCAATCCCCTCCGCAAGCATTCTAACGAGCTCATTCAATATCTAATGCAAATCACAGGCTCTCTCATCAACAACCACCGTCCTACCCGCCGAGGAGAACGGGCCGACTATCTACTCAGGCATGATCGCGCAGGCGAAATTCCACCTACACACCAATAGCATCTACCAGCGTCTGATATCAACACCAAGTCTAACCGCGGAGGAGACATTGGGTCTCTCAAAACCCATGGAAGACTGGTACAACAGCCTCCCGCATTACTTCAAGCAACCGATTACAACACCCGAGTCGGACAACTTTGCTCTCGTCCGCAACCGCCTCATGTGGCGGCACTGGAATCTGAGAATCCTCCTTTACCGGCCCATCCTCCTCCGCTGGGCGTCGAGGAGATGGACGCCGACGCCGGACTCGCCGCCGGAACCCGAGGATCCGCTCGAGACGGAGTGCAGGATGCTCTGCCTTCGCAACGCGCGGTGGACTATCTCGTCCATCTCGGACTTTGTCAATAATCACATCTGCACGAGACTGGGGGCTTGGTATATGCTGTGCGTTCAATTGCCACCATCCTTGAAAAATGCTCGAGGCACCTAACGCTAATGCTTTATGTACAGGTACTTCCTCTTCCAGGCCGGTCTGATCCCCATCATACTCCTCATGACAGATCCCACTAGCACAGACGCGCCCGCCTGGCTTCAAGACGTCGAAACCACCAAGAAACTTCTCACCCACCCTTCTCTAAGCAACAACCGTCTCGCCACCCGCTGTCTAGAAGTCGTGAATAGGCTTTGCTCCCCTACGTATACTTCCTCCGTCTCGGATGGGTCGACAACGGTGCAGCCGCCGATGTTGATGCAGTTCTCAGATCAGCTCCTCAACGATCCCATGTTCGGGAGTATGTTCCCGGATGTGGACCAGGAGTTGAATCTAGGGGGGATGGATTTCTCCGAATGGGTGAATTACACGCCTCAGACAGGCTTCCACTGATTCAACTGTGGCTAAGTATTGTAACAGAATCGAACGTGGTATCCGACATATTGAACATGAGGGTTCATGATGACGACATTGACGTTACCTCGGTAACTCGAAAGATGGAACGCGCCCGGAATCTTCCACTAATGGCGCTGAATATGCTCTCGATCTTCTAAACATCCTCTTCCTGCCGCGCATATGGCTTTTTCTCGAGATCTGGATCGCCGGCCTGAGTTTCCCGGAGCTCCGCCTCGATCTGAACGATGCGCTGCTTCTCCTCATGGGCTGCTGTGTCACCGAAGATTAGATCCATATCTTCAAGAGTCTGTTGATCGAACTCTCAAGTTAGCCTCCGCTAATCCACAATTGCAGCGCTGCACAAAGAGGAAAGAGATGGAAACAGGGCGACGAACCTTCCCGCGTGTCTCTGGAATGCAGAAGAACGTGAAAGCCAGCGCCAAAAGACAGAATGCTGCAAAGAAGATATAGGTGCCATAGGTGATTGTGTCGAGCATATCTGGGGTTACCAGACCAATGATACTGGAAAGGCGAGGTGTCAGCTCATGATAACCGTTTGCTTCGCTCATTTATGACATTCAATGAAACACATACAAATTGCACATCCAAGTCGCCGAGGTCGTGATGGAGATAGCTTTGGAGCGGATGGAAAGGTTAAAGATTTCCGATGGCAGGACCCAACCGATGGGTGCTGTACTCAGTTAGTCAAATGCCACTTAGATACTTGACGAGATGAGGGCACACAGACCGAATGAGTATGAAAAGTTGATATCGTAGATGTAGATAAAGGCAATCCCCGCCCACCCAGCGGATTTGTGATTGACCAGGTCTGATCCATAGGCGCCGATAATGCCGCCTACGATAGCCAGGGAAATGCAGGTGCCCGTGGCCCCAAACATCAACAAAGGGCGACGGCCAACCTTGTCGATCAAGAAGAGTGCTGGGAGGGTGCTGAGGCAGTTGACGATTCCGTAGACGCCGGTAGCGAGGAGTGAGGTCTAAGATGCACCAGGAGAGTCAGCCAAACTAACTAATTCGACTCTTACACTTATAAGCTTACCGTGTTACCGTCAAGCCCAAGTTGCCCAAAGATGGTGGGGGCATAGTAAATCATTGCTGCCGATTATGTTAGTAGTAGCAAAACAAGGAATAACCATGTAGAATCACCATTGCAGCCCATGAACTGCTGAAAGAACATGACGGAGCATCCGATTGCCAGCCGTTTGAACCGGGCCCATGTGGTCAGGAATGAGAGGTACTGTCATGTTCAGTGAGACTGCTCCGAAAAAACTAAAGAGCTCTGATTAGAACACTCACCTGAGCAGCATGCAATCGAAGGCCAGACATGTTTGGAAAATGTTCTCGCGCAAAGGTATTCTCCAACAAAATTGAAGCTTTGATTTCCAGGTATTCATTAACGAGTTCCGGACAGTCCCTAGCTTTTCGTCTCAGTTTGGACAGTGACCTCAACGCGTCGTCGTATCGCTCCTTCATCATTAGCCATCGCGGAGTGTCAGGGAAGAATAACATGCCCAGCCCGAGGATCATGGCTGGGACGATCTGAAGAGCCAAGGGTAGTCTCCAGGACGCATCAGACTGTCCGTCACAGCCGCCCGATGGCACATCGCGATAGGGATCAAATTTGGAACCATTGCTGAAAGGAACATCCGGGGCGCAGCGAGACCCTCCGATGTAGTTTGTGCCATAGTTGATCCAATAACTGACCAGAATACCAATGGTTATAGAGACTCGTCAAGTCAGCAGATGACTGAAGGGAATAACGATGGACTGACGTACGCTGTTGAATGACGACAAGACTACCTCGAATTTCGGCAATCGAAACCTGCCAATCCTTAGCAATCTTTTTCTTCTCCTTCCTCTGTCAGAGGAGGGTGCATACCTCTGAAATGTACAAAGGCACCACCATGGTCAACTGACCAACCGCCAGACCTGCGATAGCTCTCCCTGCACGCGATCAGATACTCTGACGTGTCTTGCAAATGTTGAAACATACCGGCAAAGAGCATCGGGATTGTCACTGCGCCGCATTGAATGGCTGAACCAATGACAAAAATTACAACTGCCAAGTTGATTGATAGCTTGCGTCCAAGTCTGTCGGCAATGGGTCCGTTGATGAGAGAGCCAAACCAGGCAGCTAACAGGGCGTCAATATTGTTCTTGGAGGGGAAGATCAGGACGCTCAACGTACCAAGAAGGAGCGTAGACACGAACCATCCTTTGAAGCTGCTATCTGTGTAGATACGAGGGAAGCGGGCTCCAAACGACTCCATGGTAATAACCCCCGATATAACACCTTGATCATAGCCAAATAGCAATCCACCAAGGGTTGAAAACTGTAGATAATAGTCAGGATCGCTCTGGCCGTCCTTTCCCATAGAAACTCGACTTACTGATGCAACCCCCAGAAGATAGGGGTTCTGGTAGATGAGGGAAAAGCCCCCCTTGGGAGTATTGTCCATAATCCCAGTCATTCTGGCTGTACAGTCGATTACCTCAACAGTGCTGATCTTGTTCTATGCGATCATACTCATCAGCAACTGATCCTTATATACCGCCTCGTCTTCATCGGTTTCAGCGCGCGTTTGATTCTACGAACTCCGCACGACTGTACTCCGTCTTTGAATCTCAGCAGCATGATATAAGAGCATTCTTGAAGAAACGGAGTTGAGTGCTCCGGCCAATAAAGGCTTTTACAGTCACGGTCAGATTCGGCCAGACTCATAGGCGTGACCGGACCAGCGCCGAGCCGGTTGGAGAACATGGGGAATGAAATGCGGGGAGACTTGGTGTGGCAAGTTGGAACTCCCGAACGGAAGTTTGTACTCCACCAGCATGGTCCATCATTGCCCTGAATTGACAGAAGAGTCGGAGGACCTTTCTCCGGTTGGATTCTCGGGCATTCCTCACTGTTGTTGTTGCTAAGAGACAGTTACACAACAGGAACAACGGCTCTCACGTCAGAAGCCAAGTAGGACAGACCGAGGATTAACCTGGGAACGAGATAAGAAGTAAGCTGTGGTGCAAATAAACGAGCCAACAGAGCAACAGCACGGACCTGGTCAGCTGAAGGACAGTAGATTGACTGGACAGCCGGGAAGAAGCCGACCCAGGTTGCCAATCAATGTGGGGGCGACAAAGGGCTCAATAAGCATCAGCCATCAAAGTCAATTTAGCGATCAAACGAGGCTTTCATCATCTGGAGTCAAAGAGAGGAGAAAAGAACGCGTCAAAGAAACACAGAGATGGCAGGCAATCTGCATCGGAGACTTTGGGCAATTCGACCTTGATGAGAAGTGATGGAATCAAAGCATGTGATAGCCAGTCTAAGGTAAGGAACTAAGGATATTGCAGGAGAATAAGTTATCTCTGGACCCCGTCAAGGTTAACGTGACTATAAGCTCGTGGTATCCCAACGACCGCACACAGTACAAAAAGACCACTGAGGAGTCCAATGCAAGAATGGAGGTGAAAGTGAAACAAAGAAATAACCAGTGCCTGCACCAGATGCAGTCATATCTTGCTCAATTTGCTCAATTGCGCTCAAGCACCGGCATCCCCGTGAGCCTGGATCTCTCTGTCCTGCCAATGAGGCTTCATCTGTGCCTGGATTGGGACAACGTTCTTACTTCCCCAAGATGACGGTGAAGCCTCCTTCTTTTCCTGCCGTCTCATCTGCCCAATTGTGCTTGTACCACAGGCGCTTAGAGCGTTGCCCAGACAGTCTACTCTACATCCCTCCACTATAATTGATTTCTTAAGAGGCCGGCATATAATTTTCATCCTTTCTTCCTTTCCGTTACTACTTCCCAGTACGTCTTTGACCCGACACCTCTCTCTTATCATCCAATCTTCACTCAATTCAATCATCTCAGCAACCTCGAACACAACCTCATCCCTAATTTCATCCCAAGTACAATCACAGCCACAATGACCCGCAAGCCCCTCCGCATCGGCGTCCTCGTGGTCGGCACCGTCCAACTCCTGGACCTCGCCGCCGTCGACCTCCTCTTCATGATCGACCCTTCCTACCTAACCGCCTGCACCCTCCCCAAACCCCTAATCGAGCTCGGCCGCCCCGTCTCAGTCGTCTACATCGGCAAAGCTGGCCCGCAAGCTCACCAGGGAACGACCTCCAACCTCTCCCTGCAACTCACCCACTCCCCCACTGATCCCGCCGTCCAACCAGGCGCCCTGGACATCATTCTCATCCCGGGCCCGGAGCCCGAGATTGTCCCGGACGCAGAGTATCTGGATTTCGTGCGCGCCCACAACGCCGCAGGCACGCACATCCTCAGCATCTGCACCGGGATCCTGGTCGTTGCCCACGCGGGAATCGCCAAGGGTAAGCGCGCGACGGGCCCTCGCATGATGATCCCCATGCTGCGGGAGAAGTTCCCCGAAGCACAATGGGATGACTCGCTGCGCGCCGTCCATGACGGCAATCTATGGTGTAGCGGGGGAATCACCAACGGCCATGACCTCATCGCTATGTATCTCAGGACCATTGTTGCCGAACCGCTCGTCAAGACTATCCTCGGTATGGCGGATGTGCCAGAGCGCAGTGTGAAATACGATAGTGCGCCGACGACCGACAACCTGTTCTTCCTGTGGCAGGTGCTCAGGGCGTTGCCGTCGATGCTGTTCCGGTCCGTCAAGGCCTAGCGGAAAGTTGAAGATGACCATTATGACCCGACAGATATGTCTTGCGCTTATTTCTCTATCTCTATGTATTGCTACTCACTCTACTCACGCTCTTCCCCCCAAATGATTCTCTCCACTTTATTCTTGTCTACGGAGTTCAGGTTGTCCCTTTAGGGCTATGGCGTCGGATGGACTTTCGGTGTTCTGTTCTCCTATCGTGGGTCCCTTTCAAGGTATCATTGTTTCATGATGGAATAATAATATTAAAATGACCTGTGGTCACTGGATACGGCTGGTCAAGTCAATGCTGCTTGCATCTGTAGTGGCCAGTAAATGACGTCCATACTCTTTTCTCCTATTCACAACTAAAAGGACAGTTGGTCAAGGACGCACTACGAACAAGGAGCGATGGCAATTAAACATGAAGGATCAGGCCTATCACAGCCTCTAGCTCAGGTGACCGACCAGATTCGGCTTTCAAGAGATCCGAGTGTTGACCTCTTGATACCCGTCAATCTTGAGGTATCATCATTTTTTTCTCAGCAAAGAGTCGAAATGCTACTTGCCACATTCAGCATATGACACCAGGCCAATCTGGATTGAAGATAAAAGTCCTCCCAATAACGAACGAAGCCGTTGGAGAATGGGGGTGAAAAAAGCAAAAAAAGAAAGAACCGTCGAGCACGCTCAGACCTATGCAATACGCACTAAGAGAAACGCTAAAGGAACTGGAAACCCCATGAGATGGATCGAAACATCTCCAGCTCATCACAGTGCTAGATAACAGACAAAGCAGAGGTTCTTGATGTACGTCGGGCAATCGCGGACTTGCATAAATATGCCGCTTTAAACCGTTTCCCATAACTTTATAGCATGTAGAAGAGTCGTCTGTCGCCTGGATTAGATTTGTTTGGCATCTGTTTTCAGCTCATATGCGAGGTCTACTTTCGAGACTCGCTGGGCTCCCAATGAATTGGCTCAAAGTCCTGGTTCTGAAAGTGGGCCTGGTTGTAGGGAGAGCTGGAAATTCAGGTTAGCATCTATTCCTAACACATCAACGACCCAGAGAGAGCAACCGGACCCAGCTTACTTCTTGAACGGAGTAGTGACAGGTAAGGAATGACTTAAGTTTTGTTTCATGACCAATGGATTCAGCCGAATTTGAGGTCCGTCAGATGAGCGACTTGGTAACGAGCTCATAGGTGGCGGCGGTCCAGACATTCGGGGAGGCGGTGGTGACGTTGCTGGAATGGCTGCCGGAGGGCTGGGCATACTGGGCTGGTAAACTTCGTGAGGCGGTGATACCCGGTAAGGACTTGGGGGCGCGGGAGACATTGCAGGAGATACTGCAGCAGGAGCAGCAGGCGCGAGGCCAAACGACGGATCCATCATGAGACCAGGAATTGACATCAGACTAGAGTTCACGTCGAACGAGAGAGCACCTTGATCCCAGGGGGAGTAGTTAGTGGTCATTCCGAATTGGTAATTAACCACGGGTTCCATATTCACAGTAGGTTCGAGACGGTAAAGGATGTCGTAGTGGCCACTGGGGTTCAAGAATGTCAGCGCCTTGAAATCTAAAGCCAAGAGTGACGCTCAATGACTTACGGGCGATACAGCAGTCGGATCGTTGCGGAGGTGGGCCGGCTTGGTGTTAACAGGTGAGGGGTGACCGCGTCGCCTGCGCTGCGGTCGAGGTATAGAATCTCAACTGCGAAGCCGGACCCCTCGATCACACCATCGACTAAGGCTTGAAGCCCAACTTCATCGATTTCCGTTTTGACCGTCTCAATTCGCGTTGCGCAGTACTGGTCTAGAGGCAACGAGAGGAAAGCCTGATACCTATGAGGGTTCAATTTCATCCATGCACTTGTGAGAAGCTATAGAATTATTCGCGAGTCAGTGTTGCCAGCCGCCAAGCTCAGGTCTTCACACTGAGATAAAGGATCTGAATGTGCCGGAGGAATACTGACTCTAAAATGAGTGATGACGGCGCTCGAGTTATAGTCGATATTGAAGGCTTCCACAAGAAAAGATTCGTCGTGTACGCCGTTTTGGATGGCTTCCGAAACTTGTGTGAAGACCTGCTCCGTGGCTTCGACAAATATTTCGTACAGATGTTCCTGTTGGCCGACTTGATCAAGCAAGGAGCTCAGCGACTTGATCCGCAGTAGTTCGCGGTGCACTTGCAGCGTGTCTCGGAGATTGAAGAGGCTCTCGAAGTAGCCGAACGCGACCGCTACAGACCATTCAGCATATATGAAATACGACCCACAAATCTCTCGAAGGACGACGGCTCACCTCTCCAACCACAATTCCCGTCCCCCTTCATGACCCGTGTAAAAGGATGTGTCACTGCCAGTGCCTATGTGTAGATTGTTAGACCATATGGCATCCTTCGAAGGGAGAGGTGAAAGGGAAGCAGTCCTACGTTGGTTTTTGTGACATAGGTAGGATCCGCGTTCGCATACTCCAACGCAATTGCATTGCTCGATTGCTTCATGGATACCAAAGGGCCCTTCGGCACCAATCGTCAGTCGATTTCTATGCGCAAGCCGCCAACGGCCATCTCTTACCTGAACGTCCGCTTCGAACTCGTTGGACAGTTCCTGAAACCGCTTCATCTCATCCGGAGATAGTGTATTCATATTGTAACGTGGTGTTCTCTTTGTATAGAAAGAATCCGAGAGGTGGGAGAATTCGTGGCTGAGAAAAGCCGCAGAAGGCTGAAGATCTTGCTGGTACAAGTCTTGTCTGCCTGGGAAATGATTTGAGAGAGCAAGGGGATTCCAAGAAAGATCCGACAAGGACATGGCATTCAAGCACGAAAACTCCGTACGGCAAGATCTTTGAATCTCTGGGGTGGATTCACTGAAGACTAGAAGACCCCGTTGTCAGCTTCCATTTGCGCAGCCGAGGAAAGAACTGCAGCGAAGAATCTGGCAGACGTACAAGGCAGGAGAAGCGATCATCATCTGCACAGTGTGTGCTGTGGCGGAACAGGGAACAGCAGTTGGTTCGGTCCGTGGATAGTCCCCTCGGCCTGACGATGCGGGTGCGCAATCCTTGACAATATCTTGACAGGCGCAACGATCTAAAATTCCACGCACTTTAGCAAGGCACATCAATATTCAGCACATTGAACAAGGCGTCACGTTTGGAGACAAAGGAATAGCTGAAACTGTTGTGAGGTATAGAATTGGCCAATCATGGGGGAAAGGAAATTAAGCGCCAGCCACAGTACTTGAATCGCTTAGGTAGGGAAAAAACGCGCGATCAAAGTAGACAGCAGAAGCCAAACAGAGTTTATCAGATCGTCTTTCGCGATCGAGAACAATCAAAAAGAAGGACGAAAAGATGCGGGAAACGATTCGAGATAAAGATGACGTGTGTAAGGCAGTCAGCTGCAGTAGTCATGGTGGTAGGTACAGGCTCGAGTCGAGTCCAGAAAAAGCGACGCATCGTTTCGATTGAGAGGTTCGTGCTCGACTGGACTGGGCTATGGACAATGAAAACAGCACCAGATGCGTCGGAAGCTCCTTGACGAACCATATCCGAGACCGGGTCTACTTCGTCGCCTTGCAAGGATGAGGAAGGATTCCCATTAGGTCCTCGGACGAACAAATTGAAGCACGGAAATGAATTCTCCTCGTACGGACCATGACTCGCTTACGGCCTCAACCGACGACGAAGTCATATACGATTGTATCCCTTCTGTCAGGGCTGTTGCTTCTCTTGCGATACCTCATCCTACTTCACATGGACCAGTGGATGGGGCATATGTGCCTTTATCCGGACATGAGGAAGTCATAGCAGGCGGTGATAAGAGTCGTAAGCTGGCAAGGGGGATGGGATCGACAAAAGAAACTATGACAAGCAAGAAAAGGGAAGGGGAAAAAAAAATGAAGCTCTGACCTTTTGATTTTTGCTGTTGATGGATAACGCAAATAGTCGATGAGGTATTATTTGAGAATGTCGTAGTCCCTCGTAACCCTGCGTGTCTAGATTCTTAAGGCTGCATATATCCAACCCACATGTGCTGGTGCGTGATATGACAGAACGCAATGATTGATAATATAATCCTTGGGAAAAGAAGAGTCGAGAAAATGATGACGATGTTGATGGTGGTGCCGCGGTGATAGCTTGGGTGTGGAAGACAGGGATGCGATAGGCGACTCTGAGTTGACTTAGAGAGGAATAATATGTGCTAGGAAAGTTAGGCCGAGATATTATAGGTGAAAGGGACGACAATGAGGCAGACGACGATGGCGACAATGATGATAAATAATAAGAGCTTAAGAAGGTAACTCTGCGTTTATTATGATTATTATCTCCAAATCCCAGTCCAGCCGTCGAGTTCGCGGGGAGCAGTTCCCTGGGTTGACCTGTCAAGGATGGCCGGGAAAGATGATTGAATGGACGAGGGGGAAAAGCGCGGGGTTTATGATTATTTAGTTCGAAGTTGTGGGCGTTATCGGTCAGGACAAGAAAGTAAAAAAGATGGGTTTTGGGTAAAGTAATGTACTCCGTAAGGCACTGGTGGATTCCGCCCGGATCAATGGGAATGGGTCTTAGACTCTTAGTCTGTCAGACTCTTAGGCCTTTCGAGGCGTTAAAGGAGCTTATGAGATAAATAGATAGATTGCCCTGGAGGAGTAATACTATGCGGAGTAATAATAGCTCCTAGCTCTTCTGAAACCCGCGAGTAGATGGCGTCCAAACCTGGGCCAGATTCAAATGGAACTGACAAAATGTGGGAATTCACTGTATCAGGAAGACTGCGTGCCGATGATAGTGGCGACAGAAAAATAAGCTGGGAAAGGGGAAAAGAGGGAGCCAAAGAGTAGGAAACAGTTGCAAAGGACAACGGAAATAATTTACGGGGGGTTGTGTGTGTGCCAGTAGATAGTTGCAGCGGAATCATCGGGGAAAGGCGTCGACTCTTTCAACTGCATCATCTACCCTAATTACAGGTCGGAGTAGTCTGGAGAAATTCATTGAGAACGCACGCCTGGTACAGTAGTAGGATGTGTTTCCCATTGACCACTTGCCAAGGATGAACCTAAAGTGATGAATCCTCCCATTGGCATTGCTACTGTTGTTGCTGCTGTTACACGCTTTTTGGGTTTGTCCTCCTTCTATCCAAGTATACCTTACCCAGCTTGTCAGTACGTAAGTATGCGGCTTGTGATCATCGGCTTGACGAATCAGTAGGCAACTAGGTGTGATCTCCATGGCCAAATGAACCATTGAAGGACAGACGATTCGAGAAGATTACCTTTTCAGAAAGCTAGACGAGACAGCAGGAACCTATGTGGGAACTGGTACGGAGTAGTTAAGAGATGGACACTTGAGAGCAATGAATCAACAGTCCGAGACACCACGATCACAAGCTGCAAATGCCGGATTGCCTTGATTGGTGGTCATTTGGGGGGGGACTGCTGCGGTGCACCTCGAGATGCCCCAGTCGTACGGAATATCCGTCCAATTATTTATAGGAGTGACGGGCCGGAGAGCTAAGTGTCCAAGTGACGCAAGTATCCAGCTAGGTGCTCAGATCGCAGCGACTATCTACATACTCTAGGTATGAGATACAAGGCAGAGTCGTATTTAGACACTCCGAAGTTACCTAGGTAGAGATCCAGAAGACCTACAAGGCACGCGCCGTACTGGTGGAAACTGTCGTAAGTAGACCCAGTTTAGATAGTTAGGTTTCACAGCTTCCTTGAGAAGAAAGCAAAAAAAAAAAAAAAAAAAAAGAAAGAAAGAAAGAAAGAAAACAGGAATAAAAAGAAAATAAAATAGAAAGGTAAGGATGGGGACCCACCAAGATGACTTAGTGATCACTAAGGGACAAAGAAAAAGAAACAAGCGACCTAAGAAGAATCCCCGATCTCGATGCAACATTTGGTTCTGCGCCTCTGCCTCGATTTCCCATGCAGTTGGAAGCGGCCACATGTCACAGCAGGAAACATGTTGTTGTGCGCTAAGCGTCGTTATTATTTGTTGATTTTTCTTAACTGTTGTCCTTGAGCTCCACTATTTGTTACTGACAGCCTAACAGGAAGGATAAAGTGGGCCATCCGAGAAATCAGGATCTCTCGCTTGTGGATCATCATTGTTTTTGACTGTCTCTAACGACCAACGAAAGACTGGGGGTCATTAGTATTGCTATCCAGTGGTTGCGCTCACATTGTATCTTATTTTCCTTCAGACTTCATTGACCAAATGTGCAGAGAATTCTGTTTAATTCCTGCATAGGTTAACCTTGTAGTCCAATAGCAATGAGCGTCATCAAGCATTTAACACACCTAAATGTGTGTTTGGAGGAGCACTACCCTCTCTTATGGTGTACTACAAAGTAGATGCCTACCGACATGCAGCCTGTGACAGATGTCACCTACCACTGATATTGCCTAGTGTTTCATCCAGTCACTCAGCATAAACAAGCAGTATCATTCTAAGCTTGCCATACTTCGTCCTCCATACTCTGTAATATGGAGAGCAAAGGGCAATGGTGGAGATAATCATAACCTAGTTGCCACTTGAGATGTCAGCGCTCTTCAGATGCTGACCAATTTAAAGTTAGGTCTATGTTGTAAGGCTTCCAATAACAAACCCCATTCTGCAATGAGAATGTGATGAAATGATGAGTTGATGACATTGTGAGCAAGTCTGTTCAGCAGAAAGCATCAGATGACGAGTTCGCGATGATGTACACAGGAATCAGATGGGTTTGAAGTGTAATATTTACCTTTCTTGCTTATTGTCATCCCCCATCACTTAGTCAAACACTATCGCCAGCAGGGCCTGACATTATCATAAACTTGCTGCGGAATCAGGCCACTGAATGCGGTTGCCTCCCTGTAATCAATGCGCTCGGGGTCTCGGTGTCAACGATCCAGTAGAGCCTTAAGAAAAAAAGGTGACGCTTTTCTGCCTGTGATGACCTTTAAGCCTTCCTATTGATGGTCTCGGACGGTCTGTCCGTTAGGTTATGTTTCCGAACTATCCAGCTGGTGCATCAACCCCTTCATCTGATCTCGAGACTCCTGCCTGTTCCGGTTGAGGCCTCTTTAAGAGGTATAGATGTTCCGTTTGGTCCAGATCTTACTAAATATTGACATTTATCCGGTTGTATGGTCTTGCCTGACTCGGTCCCCGATCAGTGAGCCATACTCCGTATATCACAGCAGACTATCATTCCTTCATTGCATGGGTGAACATCTTCCTGGTAGAGTTCACCAATCTCGATCCAACTAGGATGAGGCTTGCATATGCGGCCACGGAAGGATCTCCGAAGCAATCACATACACATATCACATAGTAGCTGCTGAATCATGGAGCTCTTTGATTGCTTGATCTATGGCTGCTGGTTTGACAAACCTGGCTATCCGGAAGTCCCGTTAACTAGCGGTTGCCTTTCTTTCTCCTCTTCCGCTGGTGGAAAACCCCACCATTGTGGTTGATAGCTGCAAGGCATGAATCAGACTGGACGATGGCCCCAGTCCCTGACACGGAAGCCGTAGCGGCGATGGTGAGCCCGAGAAATAATTAGTTACTTACATGACCTATCTAATAGTTGCCATTGCAGGGAAATCCAGACCCGTCGAATGTATACTCCCTCGTGTCCTTCCGTGCTCTATCCAGCCAAGCAAAAGCTACACATTGCTCTAATTTTACTTCATTGCAGTTCATTTCATGCACATGGCATCCTTCTAATATCAGACATCTTAACGCCCGTGAGGCAGCACTTTCTCGTGTTACTATTGAAAATCCAACCGCAGCTCCAACGCACAATCTACAACAAAGTACAACATGTATGGGTACTTTTACGCCTCATATATCAATAGTACATCCCCAACTTTTTATTTATTTATTTTTCTTTAGAGGACCCAGCTTTCATTTTTCTTTATTGTACCCCTGCCAATATGAAAGACAAATATTATCTCCGTCAAACTCACCAGTAATCATTTGATATTTAATTATTACTCGATAAAGGCGGAGATTCCTCGGCAAGTAAAGTGCGAACATATCCTTTGTTCTCTATGATCAGGTACAGTCCTGTATTTACCTCTCTAAAACAGTAAATAGATGGCAATATGTTCGCATTCAATCCAGTCAACACCAGTCCAGAGTTTTGCCACACCAAGCTAAATGGATCAAGACTGAAGTTAGTACGTACTCTCAAAGGATAATCAATGGTCGATCGACCTCCACTATCTGTCTAGATACACGACGACCAAGGTGATCATGTTGGCCAAAGTGGAAAATAGATAGATAGGTAGATAGTGGATCCTTAACAATGCCATTATTCTATTGACGCGGGATTTGAAGGTTTCGGTAAGAGCGGGGCCGTACCAAAAATTCAGGGCAACGATGAGTTTCTGGACCGTGGCGTCTGGCAGACCGCCAATTGGCAAAAGCACTGTACATCTAGCGGAGTTCCCAACGGGAAACTCTGTGTAGGTACGGACACGGTGTGCGAATAGAGTCCGTACCTTAACGCACGGAGTACAGGAAATGGAAGTACTAAGGTACCTACCGAATATGGATGGCATGGCACCGTAGAGACTCGATAGAGGGACATGGACAGAGGTACGGAGTACTGTTGTCAAGGTGGGAACAAGGCGGCCGGATGATGCAGGTAGCAAGTACACTCCGTGGTGCGCGTGTACGTAGCAAGTCCCATGTAGCGTGTACTTCGTACACCGTGTGAATGATGGACATGGGAGGGCCCGTCCGGTGAGTGGTAGACATTATTTGATACTACCTAGACTACGGAGTAACCAGGAAGCTATGGAAGACGAACCTACTGTACTTGATAACGTGACTCCCAAGTTTCCATCAAATCATAATCCGCAGAGAGAGTAGCATCGAGGATAGACAAGGGATCAGCGTGGAGCGCTTCATCCAAGTCCTCGACTAAGACTTAAAGCGGTAAGTGCCCGCATCGCATCCCGAATCCTTCTACATAGTACGGAGGAAACTTCCACAGAGGATGAATTGTCCGATCTCCACAGAATGAAGTGTCTGTTGTCAATCGTCACACAGTTGCATCATACCTTCGGCTACGATATTAACCGCTGCAGTCTGCAGTCTAGTTGTAGTTTAGTTTGTAGATAGGTGCTTGCAAAAGCTGCTCGACGCTTCAGCCTTTGTTCCCGTGTTCTCCTCCCGTGGACTGATTCTCAATTTTCCCTCAGGTTCTCAGGAGTCAACTTACTGAATCGAGAATCAAAAGTGCGGATCCCCCGTTGGTGGACTCCTCTGTAAAGTCTGCCAAAACGCATCGGGTGATCAAGTCGGGAGTCAGAAGAAGCAAATCACCGACCGTTACTATATATTGCATTAGATAGTTACGGACTCCGTGGACTATCTATCTAGCATCTAAGACTTGCGTGTCCCTGATTACTCGCCGGTTGATCATCTACCGCCTAGGGATAGAACTATGGAGTACTCCGTACTTAGTGCTACGTACTTAGTTATTCCTTGGCTCGGGAAGATTCTGTTTCCATTTCTGCCAGTTCTCCTGCAGGCTAGATACAGTAAACAGGGGTCATGACCGGTCTTCTTTCGCGGAGGTAGTATCACCTTCAGTCCCAAGGCTAGAAGGCTCCTACACCGGCCTTGGAACCCTGTCCTCCCTTGCCCTTCCACCCTGTCCGTACTCGAAAGTTGCTGGCACGTAAACCCGCGGTAGGCGCCTCGTCTCCAAACGCCGATTGGAGCATCGAACCCCCTCTCATGCCATGAAGTTGTGTCGGGTCATCGCTCTTGAATCCTTCGCCGTCGATTAATGCCGCCCGCCAGAGGCTTTGGAGCGACGCGCTCCACTCCTGAAGGGCACGCAATCGATCCACATCGCTGGCACTTTCAACAACAACCGTTCCGTTTTCTTGGTCAATCTTGGCATTCAACTTCTTGTCAAGGATCAAGTAACTCAGGATATCCTGTACTTCCGGGACGGATATCTTGATGTGCTTGGAGATAAAACTGAGCGAAAATCGCGTGTACGGGGCGATAAATTTGAGGACAGCTTTTGTACGCATATTACGGCTCACCTCGTCAATGTTTTCCGCGATAAAAGGGTCCGCCAGAACGTCGGGGTTCTTGCTCAAGACCGCTTCGTATGCATGTATATCATCCCGTTGGAATGCATCGACCAAATCTGTCATGGCTGAGATGCGCGGATCGTTCTTGTAAGGCTTCGTCTCTTGCGAATCGAACGGGTTGATGTCGGACTTCATCAGCATCGTTGTGAGGACAAGGTATTTCAACACTTGAATTCGTTGCATCGAGCCTGCTTCGTCGTAGTTTCGAAACGATTCGAAAAAGTCGCTCTGAGCCTCTTCCCAGTTCTCCTCGCTCATATGCATTTTGCCTCCGCATTCGCGGATGATACCCATAATCTTGGGGTGCGGTACGGCCGACCGCACGCGGAGTGCGCGCTGATATAGCGCCTTGAGCCGTTTGTTGTTTTTCGTCTCGGCGTACATCTGAATCTCCAGGGCATACAACTCAAGCAAGTATGTCCCTTTACTGGGATCATCCGAGCCATCCTCTCGTTGGCATGCACGATGCAGCTCCCGCACTTTCTTGCTCAGTTGCCCATATTCCTTGCGCTCCAACCACAGGCGCGCCAGTTTGATATTTGTTTTGAGCCACAGGCGCTCATTGTTCGTGTTCTGAAATGAGTTGAGGGTTAGGGAGTAGAATTCTTCCATGCACTGATATGCCCTGTCGTCGTCGGAAGCCTTTTCAATGTAATCGAGCATGTTGTTGATCGACTTTTCAGAGTAGTTGCGAGTGACAGCGGATTTAACGTAGGTAAGGAGCTCTCGATAGTGCTCGACTGCCTGGGAGTAATCAGCCTTCGTCGAGACAGAGCGACTGCCGAAGACTGATGACCTACATCGCTATACCTCCCCAGCTTGAACTCCAACTTGATCGCTTGTTTTAGTCCTTTGAAGCCCCTTTCAAGATTATCAGTGATTTTGCCTCAGCCGATCGGTCCGAATAGAGCAAGACGTCACTACCAATCGCCTTTTTCCTCCTCCATTGCAGGTACACCGAGAAACTCATCTATGGCCTCCTCCGGGTTGTCGATCTTGATCTGTTTGGCGTTGTAGTATTTGTTCTCGATTCCGACGTCCCCCGACTCATCTTCGTCCGCGTCTTCGTATTCAAAGTCATACCTAGATCACCATCAGTTAGCTAGCACGGAAGAGGTCGCATGGAGGATGTGTGTGGCATACTCCTCGTCACCGGAGTCTTGCATGAAGTCATCATCGTCAGACATTGCGAAAAGAGCGGTGGACGAGCGAAGAGATACAAAATAGGCGTCTAAGTATTTGTGAAATGATAAAATTAGGAATTCAGTAACCCAAAGGGTCAACGTGGGAAAAGGCGTCAGTCGTTAAAGGATGATGATAGATGAACGAGCTTCTGGGGACTGTGCTTGAGCTCCCGCGCCTATTGGAGCCTCGGAGCCTGGGGCAGCCCCCGTGCTAGATAGATATTGGCTCCGACGCCTGACTAGATAATTTGATTGTTTCGAACAATATCGGCGGCAGTTCAAAATAATATCCAGATATATACATAGAATGTTGAGCGACTTTTTTACACTCTGCATTGCTTATTTTGGGTCTTATCTGCTGGTGTTGGACCATGATTCTCATCTGTACTCCGTGCAGAGTAGCTTATAATGGTTATTATACCCAATAACACAGCCTTAAGAATACTGCATCACAAGGGCTGTCGTTGGAGATGCCAAGCTTACAATTGAATCTTTGAATGGGAGATGTAAAATTCGAGTCTTCTTTATGGTCAACTGATATACAGCGCTGTTGGGGCACAAAGCATCTCAAACGGCTTGAACAAAACGCGTACATATATATCCCATGCTCACACTATCCAGTTCACCTCAGTTCAAATTGAGCAATACCAAGGTCCAGAAGCTAGCTATTTCTAAGCTCCAGTTTCCAGAGCACTGAGCCACTGAGCCACTGAGCCACTGAGCCACTGAGCCACTGAGCCACTGAGCCACTGAGCCACTGAGCCACTGACTCTACTGAGTACTGAGTCTAGAAATCTAGAAGTGGATCACACTGTGGAGTGAGCCTTCGGACCCTTGTCAATTCAAGTGACTTAGATGATGCGAATACTTGAACAGTTACGCATCAGTGAAGTACATTGAGTCATGAGCTGTCGATTGTCGTGTGACCATGCCTGAGCTGTTGATACAGGGACCGTGGATGTTGTTTCTGGCTCGTATTTATTAGCGACTCCGCATGAGCATCAACGCGGCTATTGAGAATGAACGGCCAGTATCAGAAATTCCATCATTGATACCTAACTACCCAGAGATAGGTTCAGGGGCTATGGTCGAGGTATGTACCGTGGAAAACGGGAGCAACGTTAAGCCTCTTGGCAGATGGCAATTGTCCTATTCGCGGATTGCCAGCTCTGCAGGAGATACGATGTCATCGACTCTGCACGGTCCACGAGGTATGACTTGCGCCGCCTTCGATTCTTAAACTTACCGATTATGGTGTAGACAACTAACAACTTAGCAACTCAATTCTACTCGTATTGCTTATTAGGGGCGGCATACCTCTCTCAACACTCCTTGATTAGCATTCTTACCCTCTCGCTGTCCTATTTGTTTGGTATATACGTCCGACCTGCCGTGACTTGACTTTACCCCAAAATTGAAACCCCCTTATCCAGCTCCCCCCTCCACATCACCAAGGGATCCTCGAAACTGCGTTACAAAATGGAGTTGTGCGGGCGCCAGAAAGTTGTCCAGCGCAAGATGGTGCTCTTGTTAGTTTTGCATACGGCTCAAGTTTAGTCACAGGGGGCAGCTGCCTGACTAACTGACTTCGACTACAGAGGAGATGGTGCTTGCGGCAAGACGTCAGCGTTGAATGTGTTTACAAGAGGGTCAGCAGCTCGATCAATGTCTTTACATACCGACGTATCGAGCATTTGCTAACCATGCTGATAGATTTTTCCCGACAGTCTAGTGAGCTCCTCTTTTCCCGGCCATCAACCCAGTGTTAACCTATGCGACTCTGATAGTGAGCCGACTGTTTTTGGTGAGCGCGTTCCTCAGCTGCAAAGTCGGTAGCTGCTAACAGTTGCGTTTTGGTAGAAAACTATGTCCACGGTATTCTTCCTATTTCGCACCACGCTGGTCGAAAGGTACTCATTCGTTCCAGACATTTTCGTCGACAACGTACACATGGAGTTGTCGCTGTGGGATACAGCCGGTCAAGAAGAATTCGATCGATTACGGGCACTGTCCTATGAGGATACACATGTTATAATGCTATGTTTCAGCGTGAGGCTCCTGCTGCATTTGGAGGGAAGAAGATTGGAGACAAGGCCTGACCATGTCCTTCTCTTGTGCAGGTCGATAGCCCCGACTCGTTCGAAAATGTGGCGACGAAATGGATTGATGAGATTCGCGAGAATTGCCCCGGCGTGAAGTTAGTCCTCACGGCACTCAAATGCGATCTGCGAAAAGACGACGAGTTGAACGACAACCCGAACGCTATCACATTCGAACAAGGATTAGCGAAAGCAAAGGAAATCGGCGCTGTAAAATATCTTGGTGAGAGACTCTCCAACGATGAGTCGGCGATCAGCTATTGATGTTTGATGATATGATAGAATGCTCTGCTGTTCAGAATCGCGGTATCAGGGAGACCTTTTACGAAGCCGCCAAGGTCGCTCTTGATGTGAAGCCTGCAGGATCCAGCGGGTCCAAGGGACAGTGCATTATCCTCTGAATGACTCGTTCTATGCGCTGAGGAACACCTTAGATCGATCGGTCCGATTCACAATCCCGTTTGCATGTCGACTTGCCCCTCTAACAATCGGCTCATTTTGACTCACGCGACTCAGTCGCATATCATGGCTAGTGATCACAGATACCCTACACTTTTTCTACTCATTTGGCCTCTCTGGGGCCACTTCAGCGCTTCAGCGTGACATCCTTCGACAACTTCTCTTCTCTATATATACTTTTCGACACCTATTTCCTTCTTATCCCTAATGATTTCTGGGTACGTGGTTATCAAGAGGTATACCCGAGTACGGATCTTGGAGCACTTGATTGTCTTGCCTTGTTTACTTGATTTCTTTTCCTTCTATGATTGGTATCATATCATTGGAGTGATTAATGAAGGTGGCGACTTCATTCCTCCCAATGTTGTTGCAGAACACGCGTACACCTAGGTATCTTTCCAACTGTGATGACTATGTCGAGGTCTATTGGATGGATATTGCAACACTACTATGACAGATTGAAATAATGTACACCAGTGTCACCGAACTTTTTGTTTCCTTTTCTCTATTGTTGGAGGAGATCCTCTTCCCGAACATTATACACACCCTCGATCTTCTCCCCAGTTGCACGCCCCCCACATGCAAAATCCGCATTCACCCTCTGTACAAACGCATCCACAAACTTGTCCGCAACCTCTCCGGTAGACACATCCCGCACACCCTCGCCCTCCAGACTCGTGGCCTCCCGCCCCTCAAGCCCACACGGCACGATCTGCTGAAAATACCACATCGGCTCCTCCGTCACATTAAACCCAATCCCGTAGCTACTGATATTCCGACGGAGATGAACCCCCACAGCGGTGATCTTCTTAGGCAGAACACCATCTGCATCCCCATCCCTACCCGCAGACACAGCCATCGCCGCAGCCGTGTTCGTAGCTGGCCGCGGCCGCACCCACACGCCCGGATCCTCGGTCACAAATCCCTGGATGCCATACCCGCGCAGAACATCAATGACACTATTCTCGAGCAAGCGGATATGGCACCGCGGGGTCAGGCCCAGCCGTCGCAGATCTAGAATCGTGTATGCGACCATCTGCCCGGGCCCGTGATAGGTCGTCTGCCCCCCGCGCAGGGTGGGATGGTACTCTGCTCTGGGCGAGCCATTGGGCGGTGCGGTGAGGATGGAGCGGATGGGTTCCAGGGACGGCGGGAGGGAGAGAGGCGCGGATGGCGAGGAAGGGGCAGTATTGGAGGGTGGGAGGTCTCGGCGGCCGGTTGTATAGACTGGATTCGGGGTGAAGGTTATGATGGTGGGATCTGGGGGTGGGGAATTTGTCCCGCTAGGCTGTATCGCTCCTGTGCCTGCGGTTGCCGGAGAGCTCAGTCGCTTGTATGCGAGAAGACGGGTGGTGAGGATTTGCTGCAGATGGGCGACCCGGGTAAAGGAGGTGATGTCGGGGAAATGAAGGTGTGCAAGCTTCATGGTTGGAGGTATTGCGGTAGCTTGTTCCTGCAATTGAATTGAGGCGGAGCTTAGATGCAATTGAGTCTGGATGAATGCATCCTGCGTAATTGTAGGATCCAAAATCAGGTTAGTTGCGAGACTAATGCGATCGGAGAGAGTTATAGAATCCCGTCGGAGGTGTCTAGGATAGATCCCTTGTGACGTGAGATCATGTGATGATCAAACATCCTACTGGATAGCTTTGGCGAGGTACAAGATTTATCAATTGTGCTTGCGATCGTATACGTCGATTCTCCTTTCATAACTAAAATACATTCTTACGGCTCGGGAAGCCTAATTGCTGGAGACAGACTTCAACGGACATAGATCGAAAAGAGCATGTATGCAAAGCCATGTACTCATAAAACCCCAGTGTGCAGCATAATCAGCTTTGTGAAAAGGTCAACGGCTGCTCAAGAAACTGACGACTCCTCATCAACGTGTTGAGCCGAATGGCTGAGCCTATGGAGTCACGGTCCCGTTGACGAGTGGTTCGTCGGCTTGTTGCTCCCTTTCAGACACCAGTTTCCAATCGCGTACGCCACCCTTCCAATCTGCAATGCGACCTTCTCCTACCCGGACCGTGACAACTCGTACGTCATTGTCAATCGATAGACTGGGTCTCCGTTGACCAGCAGCCTGCTGCTGTTGACCGAACATGCCCAGCTCTTCCTCGAAAGTGTTGTTCTCCAGATGCTTCTCTTTGCACCAGGCTTCTTCCTCCGAACCAGGTTGCAAAAATCGGGCGGTACCCGTGATAGTTGTCGAAATGCTGGATAGTGCGCTGGTGTTCAGATTGAGGAGCAGACTAGCCAAGGACGACCGGGTTGCAACGGGCGGCGGGGAACCATCGCGTTGCCCACTGAGATTTGGGGCGCGGGTGGGAGGACGGTGAGACACCCAGTCATGAACTAAAAGAGAGACTCGTGGATTCGTCATGAGATGGTTCGTCTTGCGTGACGAAGGATTCGTTGTCATAATGATTGTCGGATATGGATCAAAGGGGGTTGACGGAAGATAGGTGTAGGACATGAGAGAGATGTGGGGAGTAAGGCCATCGCAAGTTGCAAGATGGAGCTGTTCAGAATCAGTCAGTGAATATTGACGAGGAGAACGCAATAATCGGCGAAGGAGAGGAGCAACGTACGAATCTGGAGTTTTTCAGACACGCAATTACCTCAGAAGGGAGAGTAGTTGCGACAAGAGGATGAGTGGTGGTGGCCGAAGCCTCGTATGAAAGCGGTGGATTCAAAGAATCCGTCATTGTGTTGTGGTGAAATATATCGCAAGTCAAACAATTGGTGACGCACTCACTATTTCCTTTACTGTTGAAAGGAATACCAGATCACAGTAGTGATCACTGTACTAGTACACCTTAAGGCGGTACACAGCCAAGTGGGATATCTCGGTGTGGAGGGGAATGCAATGAAGAGGGAGAAGCTGCTGTGACGGTGATTTTGACTGGTTGCGGCCGAGCCCGGATCCGCCGATGGATGGAGCTGCCTTAACACCTTACTGTAAGAGGTAGTACCAGAGGTGCCTTAGTAAGACTGGCAGAGTAGGAGCTTCCCATCGACGTCACTAAACCTCGGACGGTCGGGCCGGGTCAAAATGGGAACTGAAGCTGTCGACTTGAGCATCTGCGGTAGAGGCAAATTGACATGCAAATTTGTACCTGTGAGAGAAGTGGGATGGAGCTCTTCTGGGTAAACATTTATCGCAATTAATGGACGGGGACATTCATAATACACCACTGTTGTTATTAGACATTACTCTAGTATGGTGGCTTCCCCAGCTAGCTAGCACAAGTAGGACTGAAAACTAGAACCACCTCTGCAGAGTAGTACTTTACATCTGTCTACATTTTCCGTTTCTTGTAGCTCTTGTAGCTCTGTTTTTTACCCACTTGCAGTTTACCTAGGACTGCTAGAATCGCCTACTCCGCAGTGGCAGTACATTGTCTGGGCTTTGTTTCCCCGCACTTCCAGTACTTAGCTACCCTAGGTCCTACGGTAACCTAAGGAACTCTGGTCTCAGAGTAAGCTGCTTTCCCCAGCTTCTTTCCACTCAGTTGCAGACCATCTCCTCAACGCGCCTGTCCAACCTCATTTTATTTCCTTCCACAATCATTGGTCTATCAGTAATTAAGAACATCTAGTATTCTGTATCAGCCATCTGAATATACCAGTTTCATTACCTGCATCTGTGGTCAATTCATAGCAGTCTGATTGGGTGACTAGCGCTTCTCCGCTCCTTCATCCACCTGGCTGATCACTGTGCTTGCTACTTGACTGCCACGCCACAGAAAGCAACTGCCTCTGTGCAACAACCTGCACACAGACTACCAAGCACAGTGTCTCTGCAGCTCTCTTTCCAGATTTAAAGCTGTTTCGTCAATAGATCGCTTGCCAGTTTCATTAATATTAAATATCCCTGCTTGTTCTCTGTGCTTCCCCTCTTTGAACAACCGCTGTCTGTGTTTCTGCTGTCTTTGCTCCTTGTGAATCCTTCCTCCCACCCTCCCCCAACCAACGACTGTCCCTTCAACCGAGTCGTTTAATCCACTGTCAGACCATACCAATTTGCTCTATTCCTGAACTGTACCTCAGTTGCCAATCCTTTGATTCTCTCCTTGTTGTCTTCCTGTGCGTCTTGTTGTACATTCAGCCCAACATGCTCGCCCCGCGTTTTGTCCGCCCGGTGTCATCGCTCGTACGGCCCTTCAGCTCGTCTACCACCGTCTATCGGGCTCCTTCCATCCGTGACATTACACCCGACTCGGCCGCTGAATTTAACGCTCGTCAGAAGGAGTTCCGCGAGAATTTGGAGGCAGCTCGCAAGAAGAGGGAACAGCAAGAGAGTCAGTCTGTCGATGCTTCTGGTTCTACCCCAGCTTCCCCTGCTATTCGTGATCGCTTCCGTGAGTACGCTACCGCTCCCACTGCTCCCCGACCGAGCAATGCGAGCAGTGAACTTAGCCCTGTTGTTGATGCCGCCAGCGTTCTTGATAGCAAGGCATTGGGCTTACTTTCCACCCACCGTTCTGTAGGAGACGAGCAGTTGTCGGAAGCCAACCAGTCTCCCAAGCGTGGCCCATTGTCTTCGCTCATTTACGGAACGAAGGAAGGCCAGCATTTCGACAAGGACATCGAACGTTCATTTTCGCAAGTCCTCGCCCGCGGCAAATACGTCCATTCGATTGTCTTCCATGAGGTCAAACCCGACAAAGTAGATGAATATGTCGCTCTCGTCGGCGAGTGGTATCCCCGCATGGCCAACACCGAAGAAAACAGGGTTAATCTTGTTGGAAGCTGGCGCACGCAAGTGGGAGATAATGACACATTCGGTATTTTCCTCTATGAACCCAAAAATCTCCAATGGGCCCCCTTCCGTTGAAGCCGTCTGTATTGAGTCTTTCCATTTGCTGATGTAGCCTTCCGGTAGTGCACATTTGGGAGTACCAGCGTTACGAGGGCTACCATGCCTCTCTGCATAACATTTCTCAGCACCCTGAGTTCCCCGCATTTGACCGCAAGTTGAAGAGTTTGATCAAAAGCAAGAAGACGTCCCTGATGCAGGAATTCTCCTTTTGGCCAACAACCCCTCCACGCCGCCTCGGCGGTCTCTTTGAGCTTCGGTCCTACACCCTTCACCCTGGAAACTTGCTTGAGTGGGAGACACACTGGCGCCGCGGCTTGAGGGCGCGCCGTGAAGTTATGGAGGGTGTCGGTGCGTGGTTCGTCCAGATTGGTGATCTGAACACGGTCCACCACCTTTGGCAGTTTGCGAACCTGGAGGAGCGCAAGATCCGTCGCGAGCAGTCTTGGGGCATTGAAGGCTGGGCAGAGACAGTCCATAAAACAGTGCCACTCATTCAAAGCATGCAGAGCCGGATTCTGATGCCCATGCCATGGAGTCCGGTTGGCTAAATTGGTCCGCGCATTGGAGATTTGTAGAGCTTGCAATCACGAGACCAGGTTGTCCACTTCTGAGCTCGTGGTAGCGAAGCGACCGGAGCCGTCATGGCTTGGGTTCCTGCACAAGGTTCTGAGGGCCATTGATTGAGATTGAAGAGCACCGGGGAGAAAGTGCGACTGTCAGACATTGGTAGTTGCCAGGGCCGTTGCTTTATGGAGACGAGCTCTCTGATTTCACTGGCACGCTGTGGCTCTGTACATCCTCCACAGTATTCTGCTACTATACCAACTTAGCTTATAAACCACATCATGGCGTTTTAGCTATGTATCTATCATGTTCCTAACATTTTCATCAACGTTTTATTTAGCAATCTACCTAGCGAGCCTTTTCTCTCTCTCTCTTTCGCTTTGCCTCCTTCCGCATGTGTTTCCTCGGATCAAGAAAGAATCTTTGTCTCAGTAGCCAACTTGGCACAACAGTACTTACTCCACACTGCTGCGGCATGATTATGATTAGTCTCCCCCAGTTTTACCCCGCTTTTTGCGGACTGCGACAAGCTGAGTCAGGCGCCGTTTCACTCGTAGCTTGCTGCTCTCTCTTTGAGTTCTGCGTAGTAACTAACCTATCTAGATAGTGGCTGACTAAAGTGCTTCACATGCAAAATGCTTGCCAGTTGGTCACAGGTTCAAATACACATATCACGTGACATTCAATACAGAAAACGCACTGCACTTCAACAGCTTAGGTTATCACCGACCCCGGTTCAGACATGATACCAGGATGTCTCATTAATGAACACACATCCATATTTATGCCATTCGTGGATTCATCGACTTCATGCATCCAAGGCATCCGTGCAACCTTGAGCTAAGAAACCTAAGCGTAAAGTACCGTAAGTTCGAATACATGCGGTATGTTTCTTTGGCCCCGCATCCCGCCCTCAAGGCTGTTTTTCCGCCGGCAGAAAAAAAAGTAGACAAGACAGAAATTTGGTGCTAAAAGGGAACGTCAACAATCCAGACCAGCGCTCCATCTGTCCTTTTTCAATATCCCTCGTCGTCGCCATTACTTTGCTAGGAGCTCCACCGATGCATTGCTTTTATAATATACACTGAACTTTCGATCTTTAACTTTTGGCCTCCTCTGTTTATCTCGACCTTCTTTGTACTTGAAGTTTGGGATTCACCGCCGGCTTGGCTACTCTCTGGTCGTAACAACAGCGAAGCAGCGTCTCTCCTGAGCATACTTCCCATAGACTATCCCGGGGCTGGAGCAAGGTCGACAAGATGACCTACATTCGGCAGCATCAATTGCCAAACCTCAAGACTTATCGATATGCTGGAGTGGATCACTCGCTGATTAGTCGATATGTCCTCAAGCCGTTCTATAACCGATGCGTGATCAACTGTTTCCCCATGGGCATGGCGTGAGTAGCTACGCTCCCATTGAAATTTAAAATCTTTCAGCTGCCTGGCCTAGCTAACAGTAGTGTTCTATGTCTTTCTATCCAGGCCTAATGCCGTAAGTCTCTAGTCCTCCTGGCTGAACGAACTTTAGCAGACCAAACTGAGGATTGGTAGATTACCCTGACAGGGTTCTTATTTGTGGTAATCAACTTCATCACCATCTTATGGTACAACCCAACGTTAGATCACGATTGCCCTCCATGGGTCTATGCCAGTTGCGCCATTGGGTTGTTCCTGTATCAGACGTTCGATGCAGTAGACGGCATGCAAGCGTATGGACTCCCGTCCTCCTTCCCATCTGCTAGTAGACTAGATTGACTGAGTCTTGTCCACAGGCGGAGAACAAGACAGAGCAGCCCCCTTGGGGAGCTGTTTGACCACAGTAAGTAGAACGTCGCCCGGGTTTCAAGGACGAAGAGAAAGCGCGATGTTCATTCTCTTTCCCTGCAGGTGTTGATGCATGCAATACGGCTCTCGGAGTAATCATCTTTGCTGGCGTGACGAACCTTGGTCAGACCTGGGCTACCATACTGAGTCTCTTCGGAGGTACGCCGATATTGCCTTCTAGAATTACTCTATCGGGGTACTAATTCGGATTAGCCACTATGACCTTCTATGTGCAGACATGGGATGAATACTATACTCAAGTTTTGACTCTGGGGATCATCTCTGGTCCCGTTGAAGGTGTCTTGACTCTGTGCACCGTGTTCGCTTTCACTGCCTACCAGGGCGGTGGCAGCTTCTGGCACCGCCCCATGCTTGAGACGATCGGTGTCCCCAAGTTGGATGTGATTCCCGCTCATTTGTATGAGATGCCCTTTACGCAGTGGTATCTGATCTACGGCGCCATCATCCTCTTCTTTGCCACTGGCTCCAGCATCGTACATGTCATGAAGGTTCAAGCTGAGCGTGGAAAGGACACGGTTAAACCCCTTTATGGCTTGATCCCTCTGGTTACAATGTGGACGGTTGCCCCCGTCTACCTATACTTGCAGCCCACCATTCTGGAACACTACACGATTCCATTCATGCTGTTAGTGGGCTTGATCAACGCCTACGCTGTGGGCAACATGATTGTTGCACACCTGATCAAAGCGGACTTTCCTTTCTCCCATATCTTCATCGGCATTGCCCCTCTCGCTTTGGGTTTGCTGGACAGTGCTGCATCCTTACTTGGTCTTTGGCCGAGTGTTCTCGGGAAAGAATCCGGTCAAGTCGCCTATCTCTTCGGATGTCTGGGTCTCGCCATCGGTGTGTACGGAAGTTTTGTGGTACGTTCTGCTGCCCGACAATAAGGAATCATAGTTGAGACTGACGATCCCCAGCACGATGTTATCACTACAATATGTGACTACATTGACATTTGGTGCTTGTCCATCAAGTATCCACATGTCGAAGAGCGGCCAGTTGCTAACGGGCAACCCAAGAAAGTCCTGTGAGGTCAAAGACTGCCCACTGCATCCATTCAGCTGCATATCAACTATGCCAGAATCCCATATAACCGCAAATTCGTGACAGGGAGACGTTCGGCGAAGATCTTTAGAGTGGGAAAGCAATCCCCGATCGCACTGTATTGTATTGTACGCTAGAGCCGCTCAGTCGGGATACTGTTTTGCTTCATCTGGATCGATTTGGATTATTGAGCTATACCTCAGGTACATACAGTCTACCTGGTGCCTATATTATAGCTGGTCTGGAAACCAGCCATTGACATGTTTTACATTATGCGGAAATTGGATTAGCGGTTCATTCAACAGCAGCCTTTTCTAATGAGTTTGATACGTTACGGATTGAGCTATTCTCTACCAAACTCCTGAGGCCATCAAAAAGAGGTAGCTGGACAGATCCAGAAGATTGGACTATAGGACCTTGATGGCGAAGTCATTACTTAATCAGGAATAGCGGGTATGGGGCTCAAGCTATACCTTAACAGACCTAGTAGACAATATGATTGGCTATCTCTTGGGCGGGGATGGGAAGAGCACACTGGCCGTGTCAGAATTACCAGTAAGAGGAAGGTAAGCGAGGGTTTGAGCCCTATTCTCCCCCAAACGGGCCCGGCTGGGTGACGCCCTCAGAGAATTCCCTTCAAACTTCGCCATCTCCACGAGACCACCTCTTTCGCTTCAACACCCCTCAAGCAGGCCATCTCCGTCAGCGCAGCATTTCAATCCATTTCGCTGATCGACTTTTTGTCTCGTCAAGATGGTAGGTTCTGCTTGCATTTTGGCTTCATGCAACACCTTGAGATATCCCCTAGCCGTTCTGCTGGACGTCTGCACAGACTAGGAGCTTGTTGCCCGTCGTGTGCTCGCCGTCGCCGGACCAGTTTTCATCACAAAAAGTCATCAAGGTATCATCGGCTAACACAATTTCTTTCTTTCACAATAGGTTCTCGCGGTCGACCTCCTCAACCCTACTCCTCAGGCTGAGGCTCGCAAGCACAAGCTTAAGGTATGATGCCGAAATACACACCTCTCCACCAAGGTCCCGGATCCGATGGCTGATGTTGGGAATCACTTCGACAAATAGACCCTTGTGCCTGCTCCCCGTTCCTTCTTCATGGACGTCAAGTGCCCCGGCTGCTTCACCATCACCACCGTCTTCTCCCATGCCCAGACCGTCGTCGTCTGCGCCGGCTGCTCGACCGTCCTTTGCCAGCCCACCGGTGGCAAGGCCAGACTCACTGAGGGCTGCTCCTTCCGGAGGAAGTAAATGTCACATTACGACGCAACCAAAGCCGGAGCGATGATTTGGGAAATGTGGCGTTCTTCTTCGACGATGGATTAATCTTTTTTTTTTGAGAGAGCAGATTGCAGATAGAAGATGGAGTCCTCGCCCCCTTTGCGGGAAATCTCAAAAAAATTACAAAGTTCGATCCGAAAAAAAGCATTACCGGGCAGTTAATTGCCACAACCAAAAGCATTGACGATCTGTTAAGCTTTTATTCTCATGGAGGGGAGTTCCGGATATCTGGCACATGAACACGGTCCAACACTATATCAATCCGTTTCTGCACATCTTCTACTCGCTGCTTCTTAACTCTGTTCTTTTACTTGTTCTCACGCACTTGTTGATATTGTACGACGATTCTTCTCATTAACGGATTGTATCTCGGTTACCCTGGAAAAGACGACACGGACGATGACGGGCTCCTCTTGACGATAACGAACAACATCTGCACGAGCCTGGCTGGCGACAACGATACCCAGATGTCGGATAAAACTGAGCGTTCGTCATTGACGGCAGTGGATGGACTCTGGAGTGGCCGGTGCCGCGCTAGGACGGGCGATGTTGCTGGTGGATGATGCGGGAGCGAGTGTTCATGGCAGGAGAGCTTGCAGTTGGTTACGGTTTATTCTGTAGCTAATCTGTAGTTAGTCTCGACTGCTGTAGTGAATCTCAAGCCCTAGTTTCAGTCCTCTGGTGTCGCCCATGTAATTGTACATGTAAATGCACTTGTTTCCGCATTCGCCTTGTGCCACTTGCTACATGCTTCGTAGATCTTACCTCGCTACGGGTATATCGTCTTCGCCATCGGCCGCGTCGCTTGTCACGTCTTTCTTATCGATTACCACCCCGTTTGCCTCCATATTGCCCCACCTAATCGGCAATTCCCCATGCATACTACAAAGTATGACACTATGACTGACTGCAGGATACGAGGCACGCTGCACCGATTGACAGCGGAGCGACACTCATGCAACAATACAAAGTTTCATTCGTGTCCGTCTTGCTCATACACAGTAATGTTAACGAGAGATCGGCCATTCAGTAATCAGCCTGGTATAAACCTCATGCGGGAGGTCTCGATCCATTCCTCATCCTAGACCTTGATGGGAACAATGGAGATGCTAACTAGGGCAGAAGGACCAGCTCCTTGTCCCTTCGTGGCCCATCCATCCTCCAGTGACTTACCAACCCCCTAGCGATAGCCGGAGGAATAGTCGGAACACTCAAAAACGAAGGGAGAAAATCCAAAGCTAAACCTAAACCTCAACCAGCGCCTTCGCCTTCTCACGGATCTCCTCTCCAAAATCCACGGGGTTGTTGGGATCGCCGCCCGTCATCAGCGCCAGTTTACCCGTGGTATCGTTGACGAGGGTGTTGGTGAAGTTGTTCCGGCCAAGGACGTCCTGGGCCATGCTGCGGGCGTTGGCGTCGCCGGCACGGAACTTGTCCATGTCGATTTCTTGCAGTTCGCGGTGGGTGTTGCGGACGAAGTCGAAGAGGAAGAAGAGGGTTGGGTGTGTGTTGGGGGCTGCATTTGCGGGTGGGCCTCGAAGGATCTGTTTTGTCGGCACAGCTCGCATATTAGCGATGAACTATCTGATTCAGGTTGGGCGTGACGCTGAGATGAGATGATCGACGATTGGCGTGCATGTGCTCGCTTATTGGTGATGCTTGCAGGCAGATACGTACGCCAGGAGCTCTTCCATTTTGGCGTCGATGCGGTCGACGTTGAATTCGAGCTGTTCAGCGCTCATTTTGGATGGTGTAGCGGCCTAGATGGACAGTACTGTGTTTGTGATGAGTGGGAAGACGTTTGTGGGAAATTTACTAGTAACTAGTAAGCGATCAGTCGAAGAGATTAGGCGATGTTGGTTGACGATGATGGATTCCGATACATCATGGAGTCAGTAGAAGTGGTGGAGCTACTCCAAGATCAAGGCAAGGAACAGTTGCCGCGCCTTATCTTATCGCGCGGGAGTTTTCCCATTGCGCCTACCTTTTCTAGAGATAGGGCCAAGAGATATCAAGCATTCAGCTTCACTTTCGCATAGATGGATGTCTTATAGAATATCTGCATTATTCTCTTTCTAATTGTGACATCCCTACCGACCTGGCCACATCCCTCATCATGGCGCCCCGTCAACCCCTCAAACTGCTCATGCTTCACGGCTACACCCAGTCCGGCACCCTATTCCACGCCAAAAGCCGCGCCCTCATCAAGCACATCACAAAGGCATTCCCCCTCCACGAAGTCTCCGCCATCTACCCAACAGGACCCACCCGCCTCAACCCCGCCGACATACCAGGGTACGAGCCGCCCGCAGAGGGTTCTACCGCAGAACAGCAGCAGGAGCAAATCGAAGCATACGGATGGTACCGCCGCTCAAACACCGCCGACCCACCCCTCTACGTCGGCCTTGAAGGCGGCCTGGATGCCATCGCCAAGGTCCTCCGCGACGAAGGGCCCTTCGACGGCGTGATCGGGTTCTCGCAGGGCGCCGCGATGGCCGCCATGGTTGCGTCGCTGCTTGAGCCCGGCCGAAAGGAGGTATTCGAGCGTTTCGCGGATCCCAAGGTTGCGTCGGAGGGGTTCGAGGTGAAGGAGCCTGTTGCAGGTGTCGCATTTCCCGCGTCGTTTGAGGAAGCGGGCCATCCCCCTCTGAAGTTTGCGTTGTGTTATAGTGGGTTTCGGTCACCGGGGCCGCGGTATCGGCCATTCTATGAGAGCCCGCCTATTCAGACGCCTATTCTGCATGTCCTGGGATCGTTAGATGCTGTTGTCGACGACACACGCAGTCGTGCGCTGGTCGAAGCCTGTGCTGGGGATCCGGAAAAAGAGGGGAAGGTTATCTGGCATCCTGGTGGGCATTTTTTGCCTAGTCAGAGACCGTATTTGGATGCTGCGGTGCGGTTCATCAAAGAGCAACTGGAAGGAAACCAAGCGAAGGCCGATGCAAAGGAAGATGACGTTAGGGATATGGAGCTACCATTTTAGACTTGGGTCGCCATTTTTGACCTTACTACCCGCTTTGTATATATATGTGACTCTACTATTCAGATCATGTCCATAAACTTAGAAGTATCGTGCCTTAGAAGAATACGACAAGACAATTGCGATCAGTACCGGAGACACTAAGGTCTATGCCACAAGGGATTGGAATCTGCGTACGCATTAATCCGCGCGTCGTTCACTATCGGAATATTTTACACGCTGTTGCAAAATATCTAGTACCCATCAGTCATGACGGCTATCCACATATGCGCCACCAACCAGATGCCTCTCAACGAGCCTTGCCCTTCTCCCCGCGGGATGGAAGAATTCTGGCCATCATCTCTTCCTTGGTAATCAAATGATCGATGCGCTCCAATAACCCAAGAAGGCTCTTCATGTCGCTGCTCCATTCGTTCAGCACATCATCGGCATCTCGAGGTTTGGCGAAATTGACCAGTCGTGCTGGACGGTCAATCTTGGCATAGATGGTTTTTGATGTCACCAGCTCGCTGATATACTTCTCTGTCTCTTCCTCGGTCAGATCGAGGAGTTCAGTCAGGCGGCCCATCTGAATGCGAGTGTAGTACTTGGCTACCACGCGGACGTTGTGTTCGATGACGCGCTTGCGAAGATCTTGCCACCTTTTGTGTGCCTGATCCTCCGCGGACTGACTGGGTTGCGCGTTGAACACGTCCGTGTTGCAGAGATGTGGACCAAACTGCTCGGCAACCATGGGCCAACGCATCAGCTCTGGGACGGTGAAGAGCTTGACCAGGCGAGCTTCAACAGGGACTAAGGAGAGTCGAGAATCTTGCTGAATGCGATGCAGCAGATCGGACTGTTCGTTGTCGTATGGAGAGAGGACAATGTAGTAGACGATTCGGGCAAGCACCTTTGGTGACTATCGTCAGTTTCCACATGAGAAGGCAGGTTAGGGTTCGGCTTACTGCTCGCAGTTGCTCAGGGTTATTCACCACTGATTCCGTGTCCAGAACCTCACGGTAGTGTTTGCAAACATCCAGATACTTGTAGTCATGGTTTGCGAGAATGATCTGTTGCTCGAAATAACGGAGCTTCAGGTCTGTCACGTCTTCGTCGACTTCCATTGGTGGTTCATCGGGAGCTCGTGTCTTTTCTCTTTCCTCAGCCGCCTTCTTGAGCTTTTCGATTTCCTCTGCGGATTTCTTTGGCTTGCGTGCGAAGTATCGCTTACTGATCTTGCGGCTGAGGATCGCAGCTTGTGACCAATCACCACGTTCTATGCAAAGAGATACCTGCTCCAAGATGAACTCTGTCTTCTCACGTCTGGTCATGGAACCGAAAGTTTCCACCTGCAGCTCGCAAAGGATGTCGGCGGCAGCATTGACGTCACCCTGCGATTTCTTGATATTCGACAAAATGCGTGTTACACGAGCCCTTTCTACTTCGACGAAAATCTGCAAAAGGTAATCAGCGACAAGCGTACTGGAGCGACGGGCCGGTTATGGAGTACTTACCTTGCCTTCGGTCACGGTTCGCAGCGTCTCGATCACAGATAATTTCACATCCACGCTAGGCGTCTCATCCAAAAACTTCATCACTGTCTGGACCATCCTCGTTGTGGCCTGTTTGAGTTGTCCATGTTTCTTGGAGAGCAGGAGCACTTGGTCATTGAGGAGATTCCAGTTGCCCGAGTCCTTGCAAATTGTGACGATGGTAACGAGAATTCGTGAAGTGGTGGCGAGATCAGAAGCCTGAATCGAGTGTCAGATCATTTCAAGTCGTCGGGAACGTAAGAATCCAGATGTTGCATACCTGTCGTGACTGCTTCTCCAAAGCCAGGAGCTTATCGATGGCACCTTCGACATCGGACTAGAGAGACAATATTAGCACTAGATTAACACGAGAAAGCAAATGCTTCAAACCTTTGCTAGCTGCTCTGCCTCTGGGATCAGCTTGTCAGCATCCTTCGAGAAATCCTTCTCCGGCTTCAAGAGGCCTCCGTCGGACATGGTGACAAGCACTGAGACGTCACTTCTTGAAATGGTCGTTCTGATGCGTGGAAATTAGAAGTGCCTGTATTTCTATATCCCAGAGGTACAAATGATTCTGGAAGAAGAGTGCTGATTGGGTTTGAAACAGATTCTAGATAGATGAACTTGAAGCTCTGACAGTGTGTACGGTGTTCCTGCGCCTTGCTCTGCGGACCAGCTCAAGCTGGCGGCAGCTTTGTGTCACGTGACATGGCATCACTCCGATCGAGCTACAGACAAGCCAGTGCCTCTACATTCGCGCGATCCTGTCAACAACCCTGCCTTTCTCATACACATCGCTGTTTCGCGATCCGATGTTCTCACAATGGAACTCCTGAGAAATTCAGGGCAGATTCTGGGGCGTTTAACCTCCTTAGAAGATGTCTTTATCGAAGCTCACACGATGTAATGTTCAACTGATGCTTGGGGACATGGCGATAAGAATCAGTCAAGGGTTACAGATGGAGGACCTAGGTATGGTCACTACCAACATCATGAAGGCTTCTGCGTTGGCTGCCATTAAGGTCCTTCTACCAGTCTTCTGTCAATTCCTCCAACTGGACCTGTTATTAGTATCTTTAATGTGATTTCCTTGTCAGTCTATTCCATCTGTTCCTGGTGACATCGCTGGGAGGCTTAGATAAGCGGAAGGGACCGATCACGCAATATCGCATTAACTATTTCGGGCTCCACGGAGTACAAACCAGCGGAAAGAAATGAAATGTTATTAAAGAGTCAATTGTTTTCTTGTTGCGCTTGACTATCTAATAGATTGTCTTTGGATTTCTGTTCTATAATACTCTTGATAAGCTTATCGGTCTTGTCATCTGCGCCAGTCATTTGGGGGGAGTCGCTGTTATCTCCAGCGTATGAATAAGCTTCGTCCTGGGTTTGGTATTTCCGCGGAAATTCAAAAAAGCGATTCGAGCCCTTTTTCTTAAGGCTGAGGATCGAAGGCGGTTGCCCTAGATATAAGAGTCAAAGCAACCCTTCTGGCGGCGTTCATATTCACGTTTCCACCTCATAGAAGAGAATCAAAGCTCTTCGCATTGGACATTGCTTGCGGTGGCAATCTGTCACGATGAAGGATGCGTCTTGCGACAATGGCTGTCAAGCACCTTTGCTGATGGCTATGAACACCGAACATCAGGTGCACTTGATTATTGGGACGAACCCTTTAGCAGGAGCCCGTTGTGCGAAGAGTGTAGGCGTCGGAGCGAAACCTATCATAATAGCACAAGATACGGCCGATGTGCACTATACGTTGACCGAGCGCTTCGAAGACGGCTCAGCGCAATGGATACGCAGAGCATTTCAAGACGATGATCTAACCACTCTTGGGAGGGAAGAAGTCGACCATGTTGTGGACATGGTGTTTGTCACTCTCGGCGGGAGTGACCCGTTGAGTAAGCATTGATCAATTTTCCTATAGCAGCGTTCGTGACTGTTGACGCTTCAACAGGTTCCCACATTTCGAAGCTTTGCCGACGTCTGAGAATCCCGGTGAATGTATCTGACGCACCGGATCTCTGTTCCTTCAGCTTGCTTTCTACGTACTCAGATGGCCCTCTGCACATCGGAATTACGACTTCTGGCCGTGGCTGCAAGCTCGCTTCTCGCCTGAGGAGGGAAATTTCTGCTTCGCTTCCTCCGAACCTTGGGACCGCCATAGACAGACTCGGTGCGGTAAGAAAGCGGCTTTGGGCAGAAGACTACGCTGCAGGACTCTGTGATGGCGTTTTCGACGGCGACGACGATGATTCGACAGGCCAAAAACATACTTTCAACAATCTAGTCACGGAGCATGACAAATCGGCCGCCAAAACAAGACGCATGCGCTGGCTCTCTCAGATTTGCGAGTATTGGCCATTACGCAAACTCGCCACTATTGCCGATTCTGATATTGAAAGAATCCTTCAGGCCTATTCCGCTGGTAAAGAAAATGTCAGCGACATGAATGGGACTGCGTTGTTATCTAAGAAAGGAAAGATTGTTCTGGCTGGTTCTGGTCCAGGTCACCCTGATCTGCTCACTCGCGCAACTTTTCATGCGATTCAAAATGCAGACATTATATTGGCAGATAAGCTTGTACCTGCTCCCGTCTTGGACTTGATTCCGCGCCGGACTGAGGTCCATATTGCGCGAAAGTTCCCCGGAAATGCGGATCAAGCACAAGAAGAGTTTATGCAAATGGGAATCGAAGCCCTACGCCAGGGACGGTACGTACTGCGGCTGAAGCAGGGAGACCCGTATCTCTATGGTCGAGGAGGAGAGGAGTTTGAGTACTTCCGAGGCGAAGGTTTTACTCCCTTGGTCCTTCCGGGAATAACCAGTGCACTCAGCGCCCCTTTGTTCGCGGATATTCCTGCTACCCATCGTGGTGTTTCGGACCAGGTTCTAGTTTGCACCGGCACTGGAAGGAAAGGCGCAGCTCCAGAGCCCCCTACTTACGTACCGACTCAGACGGTTGTCTTCCTGATGGCACTGCATAGACTGTCTGCACTCGTGGAATCACTGACCACGCTACCGGCGGCAGATGACGGCTCCCGCGCGAGAACGGCCTGGCCCAAGGATACTCCATGCGCCATCGTTGAGCGGGCTTCATGCACGGATCAGCGGGTTATTCGTTCAACACTTGAGCACGTATGCTTGGCATTTGAAGCTGAAGGGTCTCGCCCTCCCGGGTTGCTCATTGTCGGAGCCAGCTGCCATGTTCTACACCGACCTAGCGGTCAAAAGTGGATCGTTGAGGAGGGATTCCGAGGCCTGGATGAATTGCATCCTGTTTTGGGCGAGTCTACGAGGGACGGTAGTGTGCTGAACGCTTCTTGATACGGCTAGCATTTGCATTCGGTGATTTTCTGGACACGAGTTGTGAGAGATCACAATCATGAGCGGGGAGTTTTGTTTCAACAGGTCTTCGATTTGAGATTGAGATACCCATATAGATTATGTTTCAACACTATGAATTGGTCACGTTGATTTCTTATTTAGCTTTGCATTAAAAGTAAATTCAGACTTGTTCTAATTTTTGAAGTATTTGTCAAAGTAAAAGCGACTGGGAGTACCGACGTGAAACCCTTCAGAAGCGTGGGTTGAGGTAGATAGTTGGGTCAAATATATCTTCTCCGTACCTCTCTACAGGGATCTATACGGAGTCACGGGTTCCGCCACTAGGCATCCAGCACGCTCCACGGATCCTCAAGTCAGCTCTTGTCAGCATCAACAATCTCAACAGCCATCTATCATCAAACAGCACCGACTGCAACATGCCAGCAGACAACAAGACATATCTCTCGAACGGGCAGGTGCTCGCAAGGTACAGATACAACAGCCGCTTCTAGAAAGCGAAAAGCAGAAGACTAATGTCATCCCACTTTAGTCCTCCCCTCTCCGTTCGCATTCTACGCTTCTTCGAGAATATCTACTTCTTCCTCGGCTTATATTTCGTGAGCCTTTTCTCGGTATGTTAGGCCCCGTCGATAATCTCGGACTTGGTCGTTTCTCCGCGCCTCGCCGGATCGTTCACTCCGCATATTGTACGTCAGTTACTGACATTTGATCTTTCATAGCTCGATCCCTATACTGCCGCTCAGAATTCCCAGTTCAATGTATCGCGGTCAGGAAACCGTCACAATGCTAGGCCTCGCTGGGGAGGCAGTGGTCCTAGCTCTGGAGGCGGCGGCGGCGGACCTGGAGGTGGATTTGGCCCTCGCAAGATTGGGCGTGTGGACGATATTAGAGGACCGGAGTGTAAAAGCTGCCGTTAGGGTTGGGTAGGGTGTTTTGTCACTTGTCCTTTAGCGATGCTTTTGTTAGGTTGCCTTACGAGAACCAGCGCGTCTTGTACGTGGCACAGAGATCTTCGTTTTTATTACAGTGAAGACAATGACATCTTCGGTGTACGTCCTTTGCCATTCGTGTGCATTATACATACCGTATCTCGCTGGGCCGTATATGGTGTATTTCTGTTCATCCATGGAAGCTCGGATCGTCTCGATAGAAACTGGTCTATGCATGGGGACACTACGGCTGTGGACTCGTTATCTCTTGGCATACCTGCTGGAAGAGCGGGTGTTCGGAGATTCCATCCGCATCCATGGTTAATTCTTGAGGCGGATAATGACTACAGAGGACATCAGCATCCATATAGCTCATCATGATGCAGTAAATAGACATCACGTGACTCGTCGGAGTTCTCCGCAGCAGCTGATGAGGGACGCAACAGCAAAACTGCGTCCCCTGACAGCGTTGACGGTGTGATTTTTCTTCTAGTCGTCCAGCAAAGCTTCCAGCACCATGACTCTCCCTACGAACAATGCCGAATGGGGTGCCGTGATCTCCAGTTACAAGGACCAGCTTCCGGAGGTCTATCCTGTATACCAAACCCCACTTCCGTCCTCCGTGAACCGGTACATCGACCACACCCAGCTGTCCTTAGATGCAACAGACGAGGATATTGACAAGCTCTGCGCGGAGGCCGCTAAATACAACTTTGCTGCGGTCTGCGTTCGCCTGCGACACGTCCGCAGAGCCGTTACGAATCTCCAGGGCAGCCCGGAGTGCACTGTGGCCTGCGTCGTGGGATTCCCTGAAGGCACGCACGACACCATGGAGAAGGAGAAGGAGGCACTGGACGCCGCAGAACTGGGAGCGAGTGAGCTAGACATGGTGATCAATTGGCCAAAGTTGAAGGAAGGGCAGTACATGGATGTCTACGCCGATGTCCTCGAAGTGCGGAAAGGGGCGCCGTCGCCGGTCAAGTTGAAAGTCATCCTGGAGACTTCGCAATTGACCAAAGATGAGATCATTGCTGGCTCTGTTATATCGAGCATGGCCGGGGCCGACTTTGTCAAGACAAGCACGGGATTCAAGGGAGCGGGGGCCAATGTTGACGACGTCGCTATGATGCGGGCTGTCGTTGAGCTGGTAGGAAGGGGAACCAAGGTGAAAGCCAGTGGAGGAGTTCGCTCAGCAGAAGACTGTGTCAAGATGTTGAAAGCAGGCGCAGATCGCATTGGAACGAGTTCAGGGGTGAATATTGTAAACCAGCTCGCAGGAAAGGAGACGCAGCCGGCCACACCTGCAGCTTACTAGTACGGCGGTCAGTAGTGAGCCCCAAAGAAAGGTAGACTATTGTTTGCCCCTAAGACTGAGCTTGTCGTCAGAGAAATAGTACCTTTCAAATGTCTAAAAGCTATGTACCTGACTAGTAACTATAAGGCACAGCGTAGGGATGGATATCGATACATTGCTGTTTGGGTGGAGAGCTGGTGGAGCACGTTATCAACAACCGCCCATCAGATGTCATTCGTTCTCCTCACGGACGAGACATTTGATCGAAGGAGGATGAAAAAGATCTGCAATTATTGACTATGCCTATCCGTCTATCCGACTCCCTTTATACGACTCCTTCCATACTGCTCCTTCCAAAGGCGTTGCTGCCAAGACGAAACAACCTTCAAGCTACCGAAGTCACTTACCAGAGGCAAGTACTACTAGGTACTACTCGGCAGTTATTCGACATAGGTAGATCTCATGTCTTGCAGGGAGTGACAACCTGCAAAGACGAAGACCTTGCAATGGTTTCAATCTCGCCGTTTGCGACGGCAGCCACGATGCTCCCTTTAGAGCATCTGCTGCCTATATACCGAGTGATCGAAGACTAGGGAGATCATAAGGTGAATGAGAGGCATAGTGTCAATATCGAGGATGTTTCCTCCTTCGCACATCTCAGAATCAGCCTGTGGACAAACGTGTCATATCCAGGCTCAATTAATTGGGCAAGACTCTGTGTCCCGGTCCATCGCATGTGCTCTAGCCGCCTTCTGCGTTGACGATGTTATTGTATAGATGATGACAACGATGCACTCGTTGTGAAGCTTGTGGCTAAGTCTGGGGGAATTTCAGCACCAAATTCAAGTCGGACTGCTTTCTCACCCTTCTCACCCTTGCTGGCAGACCTGTATACGTCCTTAGAGACACTACTCTACCTACGCAAGAACCTGAGTATGCATCTCAATATTTGCAGATCGGACTGCTACCAAATTGGATATATCATCTCCCCGTCTATGGCGAGGCTCCTAAGAATCATTCCGTTCAATGCTTCTTTCAGTTGGCAGGGCGGGAAGGTAGGCGAGGTTGCTATCCTACTCTGTTGTAAGCTCTGGTCTGCCCCCTTCGTCGTTTCAGATTGGATCAGAGGAATGTGTCTCTGAAGTTCCCGGATGAAACGGGCTCAACTTCCAGGCCCGTCAGCCAAGCATTCCAGGTTGATGATCGAACACGAGGCTGTACGTTCTGACGTCTACTTCTGACATCCGAGGAATGCCTGCTCCCTTCAATTCGCTTTTACGGTGGCAATGGGCCAATTGATGAGGAGCCAGAGCAAGGGAGGATGGAGGAGCCAGTGCACAAGCCCCTTGATACATGGACCACTCTACATTATTGCTTTTTTTCTGTCGGCTTCTGACGTGCGACCGAAGCGATGATAGCACCTTTCAGGCTTGAATTATTGGCGACTGAGCGTTAATATGGCTATGTGGCGGTTATTCATGCATTTGGTGGACGTAATAATGTTGGGTTGGCCTGGATTACGTGTTTGTTAAGGGTGTTAGGCGTTTTGGACTTTTGTCGAAGGGATGAGATGATTGAGATAGTTTTAGATATTGAGTCCATGCTTAGACCGTTGGTGGGTTCATGACTATATACACATGCAAACTGTTCAGTATATGTGGTTTGCCCAAACTATTAGCCCATTGCGCCTTTCGTAGAAGTCTATTCGAACGATATATATGCAGATGCAGGGAAACCTAGTGTCATAACAGAGAACTGTAAGGAAGGGGAAGGAAAGGGGAAGATAGGAGATAGAAGCGACAGTCATAGCTCGTCACTGCTTTGATCATCGGTTTCGCTAGTCTGAGCTTCCTCTTCCAATTCCATCCGCCGAAGTACGGCATCACCCTTCTTCCCTTTCTTCTCGGCAGCTAACCAGGCTTCCCGCCTGCGAGTCTCACGCTCTTCCTTTCGAGCTTGACGCAAGAGCTTTTCGCGATGGGCCTGCTCCTGCTTCTGATGCAGCTCATTGACGTAGTCATGCAGGTTGACCAGGTCCGAGCGCAGTTTGGTCACCTCGTCCGTGGTAACTTGGCGGGCCGTCTCGTTGACGGCAAGTTTCTTCTTTAGAGTGGTAATTTCCTCTTCCAACGATGCGATCTGGGAGTCATCGACGGTTGCCGCTTGTTCGGAGACTACTGATTGCGAAATCGCCGAGACATGGTTTCCGTTGTTTCCGGAATGTTTGAGAGCGGCAAGCTCCGCAAGACCTTCTTCCATCATTGACTCAGGGAAGAAAGCGTGTCTCAAGGCTGTAGAGAATTTATTCGTTTGATGATCGCTTAAAGTGAGTCGGGCTGTGTTAGAGGCGAGCAGATGCGTACTGAATGTATAGTCAGCGGGGACCGCGCCAGGCGTACCCGAAGACTCTGAAAGAGCATGGTCATAACGAGGCTTGACGATGGTGTGCGCTACTCGTCTCAACTCGTTTCCGGAAGACGGCAGCCCTTCCAGGGGGAGCGCAACGATATTCGTCACGGGGTGGGTGTAATCTGCCAGTGTTGATGCATATTTCCGTCGAGCTACATTCCAGGACAAGACTTTTCCGTTTTGGTGTCCGGATAGCAAGGCCATTCCATCGTAAGACAGAGAAAGCGAGAGGACTCCACCGAAGTCCGAGGAAGGAGCAAGCCAGCGGTCTTCCGCTGATGGTTGTGACGGAGTGGATTGTAATGAAGGATCGTGTAGGGTATGCTGTATTGACTGACTCTTGTAGAAGTCGACTGACTGGACGCTACCATCCTCATATCCCACGTAGAATGCACGGTCAACCGGATCAAGAGTCAAACATGTTGCAGAGGCGGGCAGGAGGAAGGTTCGCAAGAGGCGTCCCGTGTGATAATCCCAAGCAATGGCGGTGTTATCTTTGGAGGCGGACACAGCGATGTTATAGCGACCGCTGCTATGGCCCACAGCGATGGATGTGATGGCAGCGCGATGGTTTGAGAATGTATGGATGGGCGAGTTTGGCTGCTGACGGTCCCGACCCGAGGGAGGTTTCGTGAATGAAAGGATATCAACGAGTGACCAGACATGAATACTAGCATCAGACGATCCCGAAAGAATGAAGTTGGAAGTGGGATCAACCACGAGCGATGTCACCGGTTGTAAATGCGACGCTGTCGTAGCCACTTGTCGCCCGGTGCAAGTCTACCGTTGAAAGACCAAGTCAGATATCCGAACTCGCAGAGACGCAGAACAAGTTCATAACAGCTTGTTTACTCACCTCCCACAAAATTAGCCGCCCACCTTCTGTTCCCAGAACCAGGATATCCCCATTTTTTCCACCCGCAAGCGCGATGCTGCGTATGCGCTCCGGAAAAGGGACAATTGCTTCCTGGTTTCCCTTCTCTCGGCTGTACACATGAACGATGGCTTTCTCTGACTGCGCAGCAAACACATGCGACGGACTCACAGCCAGGCAATTGGCCGCTGTTGAGCTTTTCTTGAAGGTAGAGCGCAGGTTGAGAGCGGGCTGCCACTCTTGCACACAAATTCCCACGTCTCTCAAGGTTGCAGCTGCTGGCGTCTTGACGGACGTCAATGTCGACGCGATAAAGCTCTCAGACAGCATGACAACTTGACTGAGGATTGAGGAAAAGGGATTGAGAGAAAAAGAGGAGCTGCTGATGATGATGAGCAGCTGTCATAGAAACACTTTTTTTTTCTTTTTACGTTTTCCTCATTTGATGGATCACCGATAAAGCGGGCGATAAACGATCAGTTTGTCTTGTTTGCTCATGGGGAAGATGAGATGCTCTGTATTTGCTTCTAGAAATGCCGATCAAGCTCATCTGGGAAGACAATATTAAATCTAACTAACGGATATTTCATCCGAGAATTAACTTTGAATCTCTGGTTCGTGCCCCAATACATTGACAATAATCCTTGGTGCCCCTTCAATTCCTCCTACTGACCCTACTGTCATAGTAGCAGCTCCTCGCTGAGAAAAGGATGGATCGACATCGACAGGCCAGGCGAACTATTATTTTCACCATGGTGGCCATACATCCTGGGTCTTCTTTCTCATTCTCTACAGTGCCTCCTGTTGGTATTAAAGCCATCTGAATGAATGAACGATGTCTTCGAAAGTATATCTGCAGCCACTACCGAAATTGTACGGCCATCGCCAAATATGGCCGCCAATGCCTACGCCCACAGCAACCGATGCAAGGGGTCCTTTCCTAGGGGCGTACCTTTGATTGCTCGGTGCAACAGGCACATCAAGTCCGTAAGCCAATTGAATTCAGAAACAGAGCGTGACGTCCCTTCGGAAGATCACAGGGTTACCTTGTCCCTCGCTCTGCATGTCTCATTCCTTGTGTTCTGACGAAATAGGATCGACTTGGGTAAGCAGACCACCCACGTTGTGGTGTCCCTGCAGGTGGCGCGTAGTCACCGCGGTCGTTCCAATAGCCGTGGTGACTATTTCGATCTCACCTCCCACTGGCATGCAAGGATGGTGAAGTCGTTACCTTTCCAATTCGTTCATGTTCCAAAATCTTTGGGGGCTCTCCGGAAGGGGCAGATATACATGCCCAATGTCTGGCCTGCTGTCACCCCAGGGCATCAAGGGATGGCTGGAGTGTGTAAGCTGTGCTCGTAGTTATAGGTGATGATGGCTCTTTTAGATGATCCGCATCTGGTTCCTTTCTTCCTGGTTTGACTTCTTTGGCTCATCCCAACGCTATATGCAAATTCATTTCTCTTAACTGCTCTTCTCACGACTCTGCATGCAACATGTCCTCCACGGACCACCCATCTCCTCGAATGTTCTCAAGACCAACCTATCATGAGCATACAATGTCCGCTTATCCCATACCATCCTACTGTGTGCCTCGAGAAGGTTCCATGGCGCAGGATAATGAACATGTATCAGCCTGTCTTTTGGAAGACTATCGGCCTCGGAGAAGGAAGCAGATGACGAGTTCTCTGTCTTTCATGCCACCAACATTTCCTCGGCCTGAGCAACTACCTGAGCACACGACTCTACAATCAAGACGGCCGGCAGAGCGGGGTCCCATCTGCATTTCGCCTTTTCGTTCCGTGCGGAAGATGAAGGAACCTTTCCAACTGCGCCTACCTGGCTCCCCTTCGTTGGAGAATATCACAGCCGCCGCAAGGGAGTCGAAAGCGGCACGGCCAATGTCTGGAAATCAGAGACTGCGAACATGGCGATCGGACATGAACTTGGCTTCGAGTCTGGAGACATTCGGACTTCTGCCGAGCCCCCTCTGTCTGACTCCAGAGAATCGCGTCCATCCACATCGTCAACGTACTTCTCACCCAAACCGGATTCTGAGATGGAGGCGGGTGAGAGACGAATGAAACATTGCGGTTGTATTCCTGATTTCAACTCATGCGACGCTTGCGACGGTGCGCGCGGTAAGGTTTCCAAAGCAGAGGAAAGGGCGACACAGGAACCAACCAATGTCCATGCGGCTTACTCCAACCTGGTCAAACGATGTGAGTCCGACGAGGGACGATTCACACCAGCCTCCACTGATTCGGAACGAACATTATCGCCTTCTGAATTCTCTGATATTGAGCCACCAGAGCTAGGGAGAGCTTCTAGCTGTGCTGTCACGGCTCAGAGAAGCCGGACAGGAACGGTTTCAAGCAAGGGAAGTAGCTGGATGCCGAGTAATCTCTCATACTTTGAGAGATGGCTTCAAGGTGTTCCGGGGACGCTAGATGTCAAGGACGAGAGGTCAAAAGAACTGAACCGGAGAAAGTGCCAGATAGTCCAAAACAGTCCTCCACGCCTGGAACGCAAACGTGAGCTGGAGGCTACAGATGAAGCTGTGGTAAGTCTCCTTTTGAGAGCTACTCGTTCGTTTACCCTACTAATACAAAAAGCAGATTCTTGATCTCACCAGCTGCAGCATAACTAAGCCCAAACTGGTCGATATATCCCGACAGTCATCTCCCGCCATGAGCCACACGCTTCCGAATACTACACAGCATCCAGTCCCTTCCACTCCCGACATGCGCCAACAAGAAATATCTGCATTCAGCCCTGACACTCCATTGGAGATGTCAGATAGTGGTTATGTTACCCATAATTCCTGTTACTCGCCAGACGAGTTCCAGGATGACAAGGAGTCGCATTATACAGATTCCATTTCAACCCATTCAGAAACAGCGAGCGAAACTATAGTGTGCGAGAAGCTGGTTCTCAAAGAAGGTCCATCTTTCTCGCCACCCAAACCGAAGCCTGGGACTAGAGCCGACTCTCCGCCAAAGAGCCAAACCTCCCCAGCGCGGTCGTCCAATATGTCAGAGAAGGAAGAGCGAAGGTGGTGGGACCATGAATGGACGATCGAACAGCTGGAGCAGTCCGTTAAAGATTTCCCACGGAATATGTTGAAGCTTACGTCGCCTGTCATAATGTTCCTTCGTCAAAACAACGAGAAGGCATTGATTCGACCGTTTCGCAAAATATTCCCAGACGTCGCGGAAAACCTGCTTGACTGTCTCTGTGCCGTCCTGATAGCACGAAACTATGTGGCCTCGTTGGCGTCAACCCACCGCGGGACCAGCAGCTTATCCTATCGGTCGACATTATCCCGATTGGATTCAGTCCCTGAGAAGCCTAGCTCAACGCCAGCAACGCAATTCACTCCAACATCGCCGTCCCGTATCAGAGACCGCGTGCTGGGACCGCGAAGTACAGAGCTTCGTACAGACTTAGATCGAATCGTTGACAACCTGCTGTTCGCAGTGAGCGGCCGGTCTGATGAAACATTGAAATCCGCTGTACTCGTTCTAGCCCAGGTGCTTGAATCCAAAGCCTAGCTTTGTTGTAAGCTGGACTCTCGATCTTTTTCCTGTTTTCTCAATCTTCTTTTCGTCATGTTATCTCGAATGACTTTCATGCCCTTATGGTGAGCATTACAGGTACCACCGTCGGTCTTATATATTTGCTTTATTCCCTCAATTTCCAATCTCTCTCGAATATGTCGTTCACTTGCTGTTTAGACCATTGCGTTCTATATACCTGCCACTTGGAATCCAAATTTGGCACGCTTTTCATTTGTGAAGTATATCATTGGCGGCTGTGGCTGGTGTATGATTAAAGAGAAGATAGTTAAGAGCATTCAAAAGATACTCGAACAGTAATTCTGATCGATAGTCCAATCTATCACAGTGATCCTACTCGGTGCTTAGTCCCTTGCACCAAAACGTGGAAACCTCAGGCAACAATCCGAAGGCAGTTAATTTAGATGAGTCAGCGTCGGGGTAATCGTCTCGCCGGAGTTGCTGGGTTCTTTCCCGCGGAATATTATCATACTAATAATTATAATTTAATATCACCGATGGCCACTCTGCCAATCCTCATTATCGTCCACATAACAACAGCAGTACTTTCATAATGGCAGTATCAACAAGTCACTTCCGATCGCTCTGTGCGTCATCAAGGTCCCTTTCGCGAACCGGAATCGTTGCCCCCATCAGCTGCCGTGGTTACGCTACAACAGAACCCTCGCCATCAGCCACCAGCCCATCAACGACAACAACAGCACGCAGACGTACAACGTTCAAAGACAAATTGAATGCCGGTCCATCGTTCGCAGACTTTGTCGGGAACGATAATGCCCCTCTCGACCCCTCCGAAGCATACGCTCTCAAGACCGCCCTCGTCGGGCCCGCCGGCCGCAAGAAGGAAATGACTCGTCTGCCATCATGGCTGAAGACCCCGATTCCCGACTCGAAGAATTACCAGCGTCTTAAGAAGGACCTACGCGGCCTTAATCTGCACACTGTCTGCGAGGAAGCGCGGTGTCCCAACATCTCCGACTGCTGGGGCGGCAGCGACAAATCCGCTGCCACAGCCACCATCATGCTGATGGGCGATACCTGCACCCGCGGCTGCCGATTCTGCAGCGTCAAGACCTCGCGGACGCCGCCCCCGCTCGACCCGCATGAACCGGAGAATACGGCCGAAGCGATCTCCCGCTGGGGACTCGGGTACGTGGTCCTGACCAGCGTTGACCGGGACGATCTCGCGGACGGAGGTGCCCGGCACTTCGCAGAGACGGTGATGAAGATCAAACAAAAGGCACCCAGTATCCTGGTGGAATGCTTGACCGGTGATTACGCGGGCGATCTGGAGATGGTGAAGCTGGTCGCTCGCTCCGGACTGGACGTGTACGCGCACAACGTCGAGACAGTGGAAGCCCTGACGCCTCAGGTCCGCGATCGCCGTGCCAACTTCCAGCAGTCTATTCGTGTGCTCGAGGCGGCGAAGAACGCCCAGCCCTCGCTTATCACCAAGACGTCGCTGATGCTTGGTCTCGGGGAGACGGATGAGCAATTGTGGGATGCGCTGCGCCAGCTACGCGCGGTCAACGTGGACGTTGTCACGTTCGGGCAGTACATGCGGCCGACGAAGCGTCACATGGCTGTGCATGAGTACGTTACTCCGGATCGATTCGAGCTGTGGCGCCAGCGGGCGCTTGACATGGGCTTCCTTTACTGCGCGTCAGGTCCTCTTGTCCGGAGCAGCTACAAGGCTGGCGAGGCGTTCATTGAGAATGTGCTGAAGAAGAGAAGAGCTGTCTCTGGAAGTAAGGAGACAGTCGACGATCGGCCAGTTGCCGTGGACGAGGTGACGCGGTGAATTTTTGCAGAGGTTCTCTCTATTTCTGTCTTTTGCGTCTTTAGGATCATTTATCAGCGCCTATTGGTTTTTCGTCGGATTCGCTTCGGGTATGATCATCACTGCAGTATTCATCGCTTGGGCCTATTATATGACACAGGTCATCATGTCAGTGTGACGGGTTGACACTCGTCAAGCTAAATACGATACATAAATCAATGAGTTGGAATCATTGTGTGTATGGTTGCTATTTGGTATTCGTAAAATTTCATGCATATCTACCAAAACCTCTCTTGCACACCCTACGCCCCATGAGACGCTATACTCCGTACGCTTGAACAAACCACTGCCTCAAACAAAATCGGTATCCGAAAAGTGCACTGTCAAAAAAGAGCCGAAAGACGATAGTGAGAAGGGAAAGAGAGTAGACGGCTCGTACATATCAAATCCGAGCCCCCTAGGCCAAAGATAAGAATGAATCGAAAGCAAGAAACCCTCGTCAAATGCTCTCTTTCCTTGTTGACAGACAGATTGAAGTGAGGGCCTGTCCGCGCCAGGCGGACAGGACCCGTGCCCTCCTTTCATTTAAAAGAGCATTTATGGTAAGAGTGATATGTATCGGTGGAACCAAACTATGAAAGCATGGCTTTCAAGCGTCGTCGGAAACCAACTCCTTGATGTCCTCTTTCGTCATACCAAAGAGATAGAGAATGTCCAACATACTCTCGCCATTGAGACGAGTCGGTGCCTCAAGCTGGACCTTGGACTTGGCACGCCAGGCGACTCCAAGACCAGCCGCATGAAGCATAAGAAGGTCGTTCGCACCGTCGCCGACAGAAACGACCTGGGAGATGGGAATGCCGTTATCTACCGCGAGAGACTTGAGAAGCTCACGCTTCTTGCTTGCATCGATAATAGGGTGGATCGGTACAAGCTTGCCGGTGAGGGTTTGAGACGCTTCGTCGATTTCGAGCTGAAAAGGAATATTAGTCAATGACTGGCTCAAGGAAGTTGGCATGAGGAACAGGACAACCCACGTGATTGGCAAAAGCATAGTCGATGCCGAGTTGGCCAGCGAGCCATTCTGCCAGAGGCTGGAATCCTCCGCTCAAAACCGCGAGTTTGCAGCCGAGCTTCTTCAGAGCTTTGCACAGTTCGCGAGCGCCAGGCGAAACGGTGAGTACTGACTTCAACTTCTCGAACACGTCAGCTGGAACGCCCTTTAAGAGACCGACACGCTCTTTAAGCGACGCGGAGAAGTCAAGCTCTCCGTTCATGGCACGTTCAGTAATTTCCTGGCCGCCCAGAGTTAGTGGTTGTGCTATTCATTATACTTGAAGCTGCCCGCTACGAACCGAGACTTCCTTCTCAACGCCAACGAATTTGGCAATTTCGTCAATCACCTCATTCTGGATCAAAGTGCTGTCCATGTCGAAGACGACCAGACGCTTGTGACGACGGAAGACGCTTTCCTTCTGAAGGACGACCTCGACATTCCATTCGCGCTCGAACCGCCATATGCTCTCGTGTTTGCGAAGATCCTCGAAAGAAAGATACTCGGGGTTCGGCGGAGGAGAGAGAGTAACCTCGACGACCCGCGGCTGATCATCCTGATCCAAACAGCGATGAGAGGTATTCATGCGCTGGTAAGGCGTCGAGAGGGATTCCATAATCTGGAGGAAATTGGTCAAACACAGCTGGGAGACGAACGGACCGTACAGATGGTCGAGTGGCTCCGGCTCCGGAGCTGGAGGCTCCCGTGGGAGCTTCTCAATATCAACCGTCGGGGCGGATCCCACAGGAACCATGGGGGACGGGAGCTTATTCGCATTTGGGGAAGAGTCGGGATGGAGATGAGGATGGACGGGATTGGCGGACTTGTAGATAATAGTTGCTACCAGTTTTGGAGTTCCAGTAGGAAGGGGATTTGTCTGATGATTGAAAATGGTGTGGACAATGCCACTTTCAGTGACCTTTTCGGGATCGGGGCTGATGGGATTAACATGGAGATTAGAGAGCGACTGTAGTAGAGAATCGCGCGAGGCTCCCAGGACATCTTCGATGTTTTGAGTGAATGAAACCGGGGGCTTATACTGTTGATGGTCCTGGATAAAGGAGTTACTCGAAAGACACTGTCGTAGCACCGGACGTGTTGGACGTGCGATAGGGTTGGGTGCTGCCATTTTTGTCGCAATGTCGGACAAGGTCTCTTGTGATTGAAGAGAGGGGCAGAACGATAGAGCGGATAGCCGGCGGCCTTTTTCACAAACAAACCAAAAGCGATCGTCCGAAAGGCACCCTGTAGAGGACTGGAGACTCGAAGTAAACAGCCAGTCCGAGAACAAGAATAATAATGATATGATAACGGGGATGGTTGACTCTGACTAGTCGCAGTACGTCGATGGCAGTTTGCCAGTTCCCTGTGTCGATCGGCCGGTGGGCGGCACGTGGTGGGGCAGTCCCAAAGAGGAAAACATGAATCACGTGTATAAGAGTAGGCGTTGGCGCTTCACCGCCCGGCAGAAACATCAGCACCTGACCAAACCGAGCCGATTATTATAACTTGGGCTGCGATGCCAGTTGTCCGAACAAATAAAGGCCATACTAGGTCTCTATATTCGGACTTAGGCACTAATTGTCTAAATGTCTAAAGGAACGACAGGATCATGATTCGGAGTCGTGTAAGACATTTGCTTCCCCTCGTTTCGACGCTTGCTGACACACCAAACAGAGACCCTAGCATGGCGATTAGACTACGGGCTCATCTCGGATGCAGCCCGGGAGCTGAGAAGACGAGCAATGTATGACTCTGCCAGTCTGCAGCTCGGATGAACGGTGTTCATCTGCATTAATAATGCTCATTCTCCTGTGTTCCACGCTTGTTCCAGAAGGGACAGTGAACAGGAGAACTTCCAAGCAGATTCTGATGACATAAGCCATTCCGGTTGGGTAGAGACGCTGGAAGCGCAAGTATTGCGTGATTTCCCCAACACATGAGGAAATTGAATTTTTCAGCAATGCCTCTTGAAAGGGCAGGCGGTCACAGCCAATGTCGTGATTGAGCACGGCAAAATCAGCCGGCAGATGGCGCAAGTAAGTATGATAACATAGAGGGGAGAGCAGCGTGCCGTGACCGGATTATGTCGTGATTGTCCCTGTCTGTCTCTCTCTTATATCAGTCTTGCCATGGGCATCTCCGTTCTGGTCCTTCAATCAGTCTACCAGAGTTGAATCTGTTCTGTTTTCCCTCTTTCATCATATCTCTGTATCCACTCTAGATCTATAAACATAACCAATCCATTGTTGCACTCGTCGTACAACGTTCCTGTGTTTATCCCTTGGTTACATTGGAGAAGTCCATCACAACACAACTCAGGATGCCTGCCAAGCTGCCTTCGAACTACACCTCTGATACAGAGGCCGCTGTCGACTCCAGAGATCTTCAGACAGAATCCGGCTATGTCAGCGGGGATTCGAGTGATGTCTACACTCC